CAATCAGAATGTTCAACGAAAGATCAAGGAAAGTTTTGTCAAACCAGAAGAAGGACAAGAGAAAGAAAAGGATGAAGAAGAGAAGATTGCTGACGAAGAAAAAGAAGAAGGAAAAGACACACAGGAGCCACATGTCCCAGCTGAAGGCTCTTCAGAGAAAGAGGAATCAGCTCCACCTGAACGCTCCTCAGAAAAGGAGGAATCAGGGGAGAAGAAGACAGACATTCAAGATGATGAGACAGCTCCTGAAGTGAAACCTGCAGTTCGACTTTACTATGGTCAAGATATCACTGGAAACGAAGATGATTCAGTTTTTCGAAGATTGAAGGATTGTTTTTCAGATGGTTACCATGGTGAATGGGCAGGATTTTACAACAAAGGTTATCCAGCGTCTTCGAAGCATCGACATATGTTTTGGCATGTTAAGTACAGGAAGACCATGTCTCCACATCATGATTTTTGGTACCATCTTACAGATGACCAGTTGATGGTTGAGTACATTGCCAGACACAAGAATCAGGATCCACAACTAGAATTACAAGAACTTAATCAGCGCATTGAATATGGTTGTAGTGATCCAAGGATGCATCCTCTTCATCAAGACAAAGCAGAAAGATCCTCAAAAGAAGCAGAAAAGAGGATTGATGACGATTTTGGAAATCTCACAAGGGTACTCCAAGATTACGTTGAGGACCACAAGGTCTTGCCTTACTGTATGATCTTGCATAGCTTGGCTTACAGGTATTTAGGTGGAGGCCTATCAGACCCAACGTACAAGGATGCTGAATTTCCATACAGATCCTCTCCACAGATAACAGCAATGTTTTGGAATTTGGGAAACTGGTGCAGAAACAGATTTGAAAAATGCCCGGTTCCAGAAAGATTTCAACAATTCATTCCACACATTGACTACACTATCGATGAGGATCATGAAAAATTTGATGAAACCAAATCACAGTTCAACAATTACTTCATCAATGTCATCAAGAACTTTGGAGGACATCTTTTCATGAATTGCGAGGCTGGTTCGTTGTATCCTCACAGAGAAAGACTCGACGAGGTTGACTTTAAAACTTGCTTCAATGACTATCATGACTTGATGGTGGCAGCTCGCCTTGGAAAGGATGGCTATATCAAGCAAATTGCTGGATATCACACAGATGACAACGACACACGAGTTCGACAAGTCTCATGGGCAATCTTTGAAGTATCTTGGGGAAAGACAAAGGATCGAGATACAGATGAGATTGTTGACTTGACAAGAGCTAGGATGAGAATGACACGTGTGTGCGTTTATCACGTCGGACAGAAGTATGCATCAGACTCTGCTGGGATTGTTGGTGAGTGCTTAGCTGTTATGGCTTTTGAGTGTGCCAGATATCAAGTTGACTTCATCGCAGGTGATGGAAACAAGGCATGCTATTACAGCACACCAAAATCTCCAGGTGTCCCTACATATCAACACAGCCTTATCCAATTCTGGATTAACAGAATGGTAGGTGTTGCAACACAAGCCATGCGCAAGAATTTTGATCCAACTTGCCCTCCAATCAGGGTCAAGCATTTCATTTCTTGCAGTTATCGTGACTTGGATTTTCTTGCAACGCACTTGGATGGCATTACAACAGCAACATACACCAACGAGCTCATGAACAAGACAAATGGTAAAGGTGATTGTTGTATGTTAACAGTTGTTGAGTGGGGTCATTCACGTTTGATGTGTGAGGAACACCCAGAAGACTTTGAGGATGAAGATCACATGAACTATGTGGGTGAATTTTACTTCAAGGTAAATGAAACTTGCTTACATGGTGATCACAACATCTTCATGGTTGCTCCAAATGATCGCGATGCTCATAATCCAATTCTTATCCATCTTGATCCTTCTGATATGTCATGGAATGAACGACATCATTACAAACAGGCCTACAAGAAGAAGCAGTATGCTGATTCAAGAAAGGAAAGACAGAAGGAGAAAAAGAGAAAGGCATATGAAGATCAAGCATCGACGTATCAGGGCAACACAGAGTGGGGTGGATCCTCATCTTCAGCGTCCAGACCATGGAGATCAAGTGAGTGGCGATGAGTGAGTGTACACTTCTTTAATTGAAGATAACACAGCATGAGAAGCCGTGTACAGTTTTTCTGTGCGTTCAACTTATTTCACACAAATGGCATATACTCTTTTAGATAGAGATAATGCCACAAGTGTCTGAACTTCAATTTAATGTAAAATAGATACTCTTGTAAATAGAGATACTATATACATTTATCTCCATGAATCATCCGGCGAGCAGACCACTCCGAATGGAGCGAACTCCAAAAATTACCAACTTCGATTTCAGTCCATTGTTTGCTTGAATGAGCAACTTTGGAGATCCGCTATATCCGTTTATTTCGTGATTTGGTCAATTGTTTTTCGTATGACCTGAATTTCTGAATCTTGCGAACCCGAACTTTTCAATTCGAACTTTCACCGGTAGAGCGAGGCATTTTGCCTGTGGAGAGACCGTGCGCGAAGCACCATTGGTCACTACTGGAAAAATTAGCGAATCCGCTGTTCTTTTTCGACATGTCCTTAGGACATTCGCTGCTTTCACGTGTTTTTCAATTCGAAGCCACTGCGTAACTCCGGTTTCTTTTGCTATTTGCCATTGTGTAGAGAAGTCAGGAAGATACTCTTAATACCAATTGGGTACGGCAAGGCGTAGTGCTCTACTCGTTGCTTTTGAATTTGTGCCTGTGTTTTTGTTTCGACCTAATACCTACATAGGTACATGCATGAGTATTGAGCACATTTATATGCGCCCCTCAAGGCTCAAGAAAGAGGTATATAGAGTAACCCTGTAGACAAGCACTGACCGGCAACAGGCTGAGAGTAAAAGAGTGCTGTCATTGGGGAAGACGCCTTAGCTGATCTTGAAGTAGACGCTAGGGCCCCTCTTCAGCCCTCCCCCCTGCACCCCCCCACCCGCTTTTATTTTTTAACCGGTTCCCCTTGCGTTTCCTTTTTTTCATAAGCATCATCGTTTATTTGGCTTCATTTTATCTTTATTGCTGTCCATGTAGACTTGTGCCTATGTACTTCTTTCATGTTCTTTCTTGGTACGCATTGCAGGGGACCCCCCCACCCGCTTTTGTTTTTTGATCGGCTTCCCTTGCTACCTACTGTCTTGCCTTTTGTTCACAAGCTTCGTTTCTTAGGGTTCATTTTCTCTTTCTTCTTCTTTCAAATTATCCATCGAGACTTGTGCCTATGTGCTTCTTTCTTGATCTTCTCGTTCTTACTTGCAATATATCCCTTGAGACTTGTGCCTATGTGCTTCTCTCTTGGTACGCAGTGCGGGGGGAGGCGCTGCGCCCTCCCCCCTGCACCCCCCCACCCGCTTTTATTTTTAAACCGTTTCCCCTTGACAACCACAACCACAACAACAACAACAACACCAACAACAACCAACAACAACCAACAACAACCAACAACAACAACAACAACCACCAACAACAACAACAACCAACAACAACAACCAACAACAACCAACAACAACAACAACCACCAACAACCAACAACCAACAACCAACAACCAACAACCAACAACCACCAACATCAACAACAACCACCACCACCACCACCACCAACAACAACAACAACAACCAACAACAACAACAACAACCAACAACAACAACCACCACCACCAACAACAACAACAAACAACAACCAACAACCAACAACCAACAACCAGCAACCAGCAACCAACAACCAGCAACCAACAACCAACAACCAACAACGAACAACGAACAACGAACAACGAACAACCAACAACAACAACAACAACAACAACCAACAACAACAACAACAACAACCAACAACAACAACAACAACCAACAACCAACAACCAACAACCAACAACCAACAACCAACAACCAACAACCAACAACCAACAACAACAACAACCACAACCAACAACAACAACAACAACAACAACAACAACAACAAAGACAACAACAACAACAACAACCAACAACAACAACAACAACAACCAACAACAACAACAACAACCACAACCACAACCACAACCACAACCACAACCACAACCACCAACCACCAACCACCAACCACCAACCACCAACCACAACCACAACCACAACCACCAACCACAACAACAACCACAAGCAACCAACCAACCAACCAACCAAGCAAGCAAGCAACCAACCAACCAACCAACTAACCAACCAACCAACCAACCAACCATCCATCCATCTATCCATCCATCCATCCATCCAACCACAACAACAACAACACCATGCAAATCAGAGAGCTTAGCTGCAAAACGCTGCAAATACCAATCAAAACCATCAAACCCCAAAAAACGGGGAAAAAATCCAAAAAAAAAACGGGAAAAAATTCCCAAAAAAAAAAGCAGCCCAAAAGAAAATGAAGAGATTAGAGACTTTGTAAAATGTCATCCTATGCCATCACCTGATGATGAGGAAGGAGAACAATTTTGGAAGAAAGTAATTCATAGGATGAAAGAAGCGGAAGGAGCAAATGGAATGGTAATATATTCGTTCGTAAGATTTGACTTAATGAAAAAGATGTATGAAAACCTCACCGATAGACAAATCATCCTTGATGGTGGCAAGGAACTTAACCGTGATGGAGAATTCAACGCAATGATTATTAACCTAACTCTTTTATCAATAGCCATGGATGAACTGAATGATGCAAACAAACCGTGTTTAACACAAATCCGAGTAATTGAACACTGGTGGGATGGAATAGGAAACGGGAAAGCGTAAGTGGAAGGCAACAAACACAAGAAAGAAAACAAAAAATGAACAAGATAAACGAATGAAAGTTTTGAACAAATTATCCCCAGAAACCCCCACACACAAAACATCAAAGATAAGGATAAAACATTGAACATCAACATAAAATCAAAACAAACAACATACAAACCCCCACGCCCCAGAATCCCCCTTTTACCATTTTTTCGCCCAAGGTCAGTGCGCTCTCGCAAGCACAGCAGGCTCAGCTCATAAGTGAACAGCTGCTACACATAACTAGTTTTTTTTTTTTGTTCCTCGGCCTGATCATCTGTCTTTGTGTAGCAACAAAGCGCAGAGGGTGGGACAGAATGAAGCCTACAAAGGCCTGAAAGTTGAAACAGTGTCTACGATGAATGAACAATAACAAAATGATTTGCTTAAACTGTAAACGCGAGAGACTGCGTTGTAAGCCTGGCAGGAGACACAGAAGAACAATGAGCTCTTGAACACAGAGAGGCAGGACAAGATGAAGTGCGGATGTTATGTGGTGTTGGTTAAAAGTCGTCGAGACTTGGAGACTGATTTGTGCCTGACATTGCCCAACCGGTCTTGGAGGTCTCTAAGAAAGAACGCAGAGGAGCAATGCAAGAATCTGCAGGAAGGGCAACCTGGAGTCTGACAGTCCTTTCTCCTGCCTTTCGTGACAAGATGTCTCAAGACAGACGTAAGAGAAGTGGAAAGAATTCTGGAAATCTTGACAGCACGTACTCTTCGCCAGGCTGACCTGGGCAGGTGCAGAAAAGAACTCGAGTCCGGCATTCAGGACAGATTATTTCTCGCCCGAAGCACCAAGCTGTGCTTTGCCAATTTGTGCTCTTGGGTGGCTCCCTTGTTCCCTACAATTTCCCTTGACCTTCCTCAGCTTTCCTCATTCAGGATAGGAAAGTGGAACTACAAGCTCGACAAGAAGCAGAGCTCAGGCCCCACACCGGCAAATTTACATACTTCAGTGTTCACCTCTCTCCCACACCGCACATGAGATTTCCCGCATTGATGGACTTTCCTCGATTTCTCTGGGCTTGTCAATGTCGCTGAGGTCCAGGACGGCGGAAGATTCCTGCATCACATTGCGGAATGAAATGCTTGGCTTAGAGGCACCTATAAATGTGGCCCTGGGATCTCATTGGAGGAGTGACAAGACAGAGAGAAACTACACACAATGTGAATGTATATGTATGTATCCTGGTATCATTGTGTTCACACGTATGTCTCTCAATACATACATACATACATACATACATACATACATACATACATACATACATACATACATACATACATACATACATACATACATACATACATACATACATACATACATACATACATACATACATACATACATACATACATACATACATACATACATACATACATACATACATACATACATACATACATACATACATACATACACACACACACGTATATATATATATATATATATATATGCATCCATCCATCCATCCATCCATCCATGCATGCATGCATGCATACATACATGGATACATAGATACATAGATACATCGATACATCGATACATCGATACATCGATACATCGATACATCGATAGATCGATAGATTGATAGATCGATAGATCGATAGATCGATAGATCGATAGATCGCTAGATCGATAGATCGATAGATCGATCGATCGATAGATAGATCGATAGATAGATACATACATACATACATACATACATACAGACACACGCGCACATACAGACATACAGACAGACATACAGACATACATGCATACATGCATACATGCATACATGCATACATGCATACATGGATAAATGCATACATGCATACATGCATACATGCATGCATGCATGCATGCATGCATCCATCCATCCATCCACCCACCCATGCATGCACTATATATACCAGTAGTGCCCGCACGAGGCGGGGTGGAAGTTCCCTTGGGGTTATACTATAAGACCTTTCTCATCTATAGAACTTGCATGCGCGGTGCGCCAGCCAGGCCCGTGCGTGCGTGCTTTGTGCGAAGCTGTTGCGGTGTGGTTGTCCGAGAACATGACCTGCGTGCGACCCCGGCGCAATGCAACGAAAAGCGAACACTTTCTTCACACTTCACACTGCACTCTTCACACCCCGCACTTCACAATTCACATTTGCACTTCGCACCCCGCACTTCATCTCATCTCAAATGATGTGAACTCTTCTCACCTCATCTCACCTGATTTGAGGTCTTCTCATCTCGGCCCATCTCTTCTCACATGTCATCTAAGTAAGTTCTTCTCAACCGTTTTCATCCCATCCGCGCACTGATCAACCTTTCTCATTTCCTGAAGTTCTTCTCAACTCAGCTCAGCTCTTCTGCGCGCCAGAAAGATCCTACTGTCAGAGAGAGTCTTTGGCACAAAAAATCCATTGGGTGCAGAAAGCTTTTGCACACAGAATCTTGAGACACAGATGCATTTACACAGAAAAGCCTTTCAAACATACTTTGTACTACAAAGCTTACACACAGCACTTCCCAGTACTACTTGTACACTCTGCACTTCCCAGTACTACTTTGCACTACAAAGCTTGCACAAGGTATTTCCCAGTACTACTTTGTACTACAAAGCTTGCACAAAGCGCGTCCCAGTACTACTTTGTACTACAAAGCTTGCGCAAAACACTTCCCAGTACTTCTTTGTGCTACAAAGCTTGCGAAAGTACATCCCGGTACTACTTTGTACTACAAAGCTTTCAAAAAGCACATCCCACTACTACTTTGTAGCACAATCCTTGCATAAAGCACGTCCCAGTACTACTTTGTACTACACAGCTTGCCCAAAGCACGTCCCAGTACTACTTTGTACTACACAGCTGGCACAAAGCACGTCCCAGTACTACTTTGTACTACGTAGCTTGCCCAAAGTACGTCCCAGTACTACTTTGTACTACAAAGCTTGCGCAAAGCACTTCCCAGTACTACTTTGTACTACAAGGCTTGCACAAAGCGCAACCCACTACTACTTTGCACTACACAGCTTGCACAAATCACGTCGCAGTACTTCTTTGAACTGCAAAGCTGACACAAAGTACTTCCCAGTATTACTCTGTACTACAAAGCTTGCACAAAATATTTCCGAGTACTGCTTTGTACTGAAAAGTTTGCACAAAGCAAGTCCCACTACTACTTTGTATTACAAAGCTTGCACAAACTACTTCCCAGTCCAGTACTACTTTGTACTACAAAGCTTGCACAAAACATGTCCCAGTACTACTTTGTACTACAAGGCTTGCACAAAGCACTTCCCAGTACTACTTTGTATTACAAAGCTTGCACAAAGCACGTCCCAGGACTACTTTGTACTACAAAGCTTGCACAATTTACTTCCCAGTACCGCTTTGTACTGGAAAGCTTGCACAAAGCACGTCCCAGTACTACTTTGTACTACAAAGCTTGGACAAAGTACATCCCGGTACTACTTTGTACTACAAAGCTTGCACAAGGTAAGTCCCAGTCCCACTTTGTACTACAAAACTTGCACAAAGCATTTTCAGTACTACTTTGTACTACAAAGCTTGCACAAAGCACGTTTTAGTACTACTGTACTTTGTACTACGAAGCTTGCGCAAAGCACACCCCAATACTACTTTGTACTACAAATCTTGTACAAAGCACTTCCCAGTACTACTTTGTACTAGAAAGCTTGCACAAAATAGTTCCCAGTACTACTTTGTACTACAAACCTTGCACAAAGCACTCCCCAGTACGACTTTGTACTACAAAGCTTGCACATGTGAACAGAACATGACAACAATCATGCAGCCATTACGCTGCGATCTGCAACCAAAGATTCAACAAGCGCAAAGACCTACGCACAACCACCCATTGCAGAACACGAAGAGGAACCGATTGCCCATCGTCACGATCGGACCCGCAACCGGCCGGCAATGAAAGGTACCTCGTGTGCGGGGCGGGTGCGGTCCGTTCGTTTTGGTGTGCGATTGGTTCCTTGATGGTGTTTTGCAATGCGTGGTTCGTCGTGTGTGCGTACCTCCAGGGCGTTTTGGAATCTGTGGTTGCAGATCGCATTGTCAGGGCTGCATGATTGTTGTCATGTTTTGTTGCCATGTGCGTATATACATGCGGGTTTGCAATGCGGCGCTGCAACAATGCATTCTAGTCTGGCTGCATGGATGTTGCATGGGGCTCGTGTTGGGAAGAAAGCCAGAGCACGAAACCTTGTGTTTTTCCATGTAAAGTGGATGCAGGCGGCGATCATGGGCAGCTCGTGTGTGCGGCACTTTACACGGAAATTACACAGGGTTTCGTGCTCCGGCTTCCTCCCCAGCACAAGCCCCATGCAACATTCACGCAGCACAATTCGTTTTGCAGCAACAAGTATACATCCATGCAGCCATTACAATGCGATCTGCAAGCACAGATTCCAAAACGCCCTGGAACTACGCACACACGACGAACCACGCATTGCAAAACACCATCAAGGAACCAATCGCACACCAAAACGAACGGACCGCACCCGCTGCGCACACGAGGTACCTTTCATTGCCGGCCAACGCCACCTTACACGGAAATTACACAAGGTTTTGTGCTCCGGCTTCCTCCCCAGCACAAGCCCCATGCAACATTCACGCAGCACAATTCGTTTTGCAGCAACAAGTACACATCCATGCCGCCATTACAATGCGATCTGCAAGCACAGGTTCCAAAACGCCTTAGAACTACGCACGCACGACGAACTACATTGCAAAACGCCATCAAGGAACCAATCGCACACCAAAACGAACGGACCGCACCCGCCGCGCACACGAGGTACCTTTCATCGCCGGCTGAAGCCACTTTACACACTTAAAAACAAGGTTTCGTGCTCCGGCTTCCCTCCCAAAAAAAACAATGCAACATGAATGCAGCCGTTACAATGCGTTTTGCAGCACTACGCACACATTCATGCAGCCATAACTTAGTCACCACACCACTTCGCAAAGTCACCCTTCCCTAGGTCAACACTTCCCTTAGTCGCCACTTCCCAAAGCTTCGTCTCCACTTCCCTAAGTCACCAGTTCCCTTAGTCAGCACTTCCCAAAGTCACCATATTCCCTTCGCCACCACTCTTCCCTGTCACCGCTTCCCTATATCACTTCCACAAGTCCCCACACCACCCTGCGTGGATGAATTGTTTTGTGATGTAAGGTATCACAGTTCTATCTAAGTCCCCGCACCACCCTTCGTGGATGTATTGTTTTGTGATGTAAGGTATCACAAGTCTATTTCTCGGTAACTCAGAAGATTGCTTCCCAACTTCACAAACGCATCCAAAGCAGCTTCTAACCACCGTCTTCAAACCACCGTTACAGTGCAGCCATTGCAATGCGTTTTGCAGCATGCCTCGACGCACATGGCAACAAAACGTGACACCTATCATGCAGTCCTTCCACTGCGATCTGCAACCAAAGATTCCAAAACACCCTATAATTACGCACACACACACAAACGCATCCAAAGCAGCTTTAACACCGCCCTTCATGAATGTATTGTTATGTGATGTGCAGTCTCACACCGCCCTTCATGAATGTATTGTTATGTGATGTAAAGTCTCACTCCGCCCTTCATGAATGTTTTGTTATGTGATGTGAAGTCTCACACCGCCCTTCATGAATGTATTGTTATGTGATGTGCAGTCTCACACTGCCCTTCATGAATGTATTGGTATGCGATGTAAAGTCTCATACCGCCCTTCATGAATGTGTGGTTATGTGATGTAATTCACACCGCCCCTTCATGAATGTATTGTTATGTGATGTGCAGTCTCACACCGCCCTTCATGAATGTATTGTTATGTGATGTAAAGTCTCACACCACCCTTCATGCATGTATTGTTATGTGCTGTAAAGTCTCACACTGCACTTCATGAATGTATTGTTATGTGATGTAAAGTCTCACACCGCCCTTCATGAATGTATTGGTATGTGATGTAAAGTCTCACACCTATGAATGTGTGGTTATGTGATGTAACTCACACCGCCCTTCATGAATGTGTTGGTATGTGATGTAAAGTCCCACACCACCCTTCATGCATGTATTGTTATGTGATGTAAAGTTTAACACCACCTTCATTGAGTACAAATCATCCGTAACTCGGAAAATTGCTTCCCAACTTCCTTTGATAATATGTCTCTAGGCATGTATGCATACGTAGCCAGCAGACATGCAGCCGCGCCATGGCTAGTCAGCTCAACAATCCACAAGTTGAATCTCCTGCTCTCCAAGGGTAGGTCCTACACTCCATAAACCACAACTTTCGGGCCCACTATCTAAAATCTAGATCTAGATGAATGTAGTCAAAAACATATGGGACGCGTAGTGACGGAGAGTTGAAAGAGAATTTGGCAGTACGGCTGGTGCCTTTGTGGGATGTGTTCAGAAATGAAAAAGGCTCAAGTTCGAGAGCTTCGGTCACAACTAGAAAGCAAAGGTGCAGTGCTCAGAAGACAACCGAAGACAGCTTTGCAAGGCTTTCCGTAATTGCCAAGACCATCTAAAACTTCAAAAAAAATCCAGATGAAAATGAACAAGTACAGGAACACAAGGCGAACGGGCCAGTCGGAGGGAAATTTGTAGCAGCGTTTGGAAGGTATCAATAGATTCATCATAATTGAGCATATTCTGCATTTGTTCAAGGCTCTGCATCCGAGAATTTGTTCTGGACTCAATGACATCAGTCCCTCAGCCTCTGAGTCAATGCCAACTGAGCAGTGTAGCAAGAAACATATATGGGGATTAAACCGAGCCTTGTCTTCCCCACCCCCCTCGCCCTAGTGGACGGCCAGTTTCCGCATGTATTCTACACAACCCAAGCTGTCCTCGGAGCCTTACTCCAGACACATCAAGTCGAATGGGTCACAGTCGAACAGACATGGAGAGAGGAATCTGAGATGAACAAAATATGGGTCGGAACTGTGTCAGATATGTCCAAGGCGCCGGCAAGTAGAAAGCTTGCAGGCGGCAGAGGTGAGGTTTCTTATCAAACTGAATCTACCAAGTCTAAAAAAACGCAAGTTGTAAGATTGGAACAGTGAAGAAAGTTAACGTGATGATTTTGTATCAATGTATCAAACCTTTCGCTGGTTGTTTCCACTCGATTCACCATGTCGAACAACTCAAATTGTAATTTCCTCTGCTGCTTAGCAGGACAGCTGGGCTCAAGAGCGAACAAGCTGCAAACCTGGATATCCTTCGTAAACAGAAAGTCTCATTACGTCGAAGGAACGCAGATTTGAGAAGGACACGAGATGTAACGATGCATAGAGCTTGCAGAGCGTAAAAGGACTTATTTGTTGCCGGGCCAAAGCGGACACTTTTAAGGCCTTCAAGCACAAGTGACCTCGCAATCTTCTGGGATCAAGTCGAACAGCATGGTTTGGAGCTTGGAGAGAGAACACAGTGGACTTCACCGCTTGACACTTGCAGTGCATTCCCAAAATGGATTCAGTTCCGAAGAGATCGAGCTATCCCAGAAATAAATAAGGTAACTTGGCTTTGTGACGGTTGTCACCACGAACTGACCTGAGGAGATCGAATCTCTCCAGCAGAAGCTTATCAGCGCTCAGCAGCAAATTGAAGGTGGCAACCAGGACCAGACTGGACCAATACAAAGTTTCAGGATGTTTCAGGCGCTTCCAACAAGATCAACAAGTACTACAAGTACTACAAGTACATACAAGTACTGTATGCTGCATATGCTAGACATTGCGCTAGACATTGCTAGACATTGCTAGATGACACCAGATATAAATTGCTGCCTACAACCAGATATCGTGTCAGCCTCATTGAATCAGGAGCGAGAAGTCCTCCAAAGGCAGCTGGATCAAACAAAGCAGGATGCGAAGTCTGCGAAGTCTGCAAAGTATCTGCAGTATCACATCATAGACATCGAATAGACAGCTCAGCTTGTTGTTTTTAAATTGTTACCAATTTCAATGGGAAGTTTGCGGATGAGAGTGTTCAAGATGAGAAGATCGTGGTTCTGCAATTTCATCTTGTTCGTGGACTCCGAATGCAACGCCATAGTGGTGCCACAGAACCCATGAATTACCCAAATTATTTTTGAGGAGCAAGCATCTCTTCGACGGCAGTTAGACGAGGCTGGGGAAGATTCTTGGCCTTGGACATGCCTTGTGCGTTTCTACTCGGATTCTCTCCTAGACGCTTCTTCTTCATGAAACATATGAAACTCAAATGTTTCGGAGTTTGGGATGTTTCGGCTGAATTGATTGTACAGGCAAAGGCTACTCTCTCTGATTGGATCTCAGATAGTGTTGCCCTTGAAGCTCAAGAGATATAGTTTGGATAGTTCACATTTAGGCTGGGACCACACAGTTTGGATGAGCTCTCGGCATGACATGAAAGCTGGGATCGAGACCAATTATGAGCCCACGCGTTTTCACAACATCATTCTATAGATCAATGTGGCTGTGGAGATTCGTATTTGGGAAGATCGAGGACTTTGATGGTCTGCAGCAGCGCCTAAGCAAGGAGCAGAAAAGTGGTTGGGTGGTGCAAAGACCGTTTCCATTGGCAAAAAAGAACGGTTTCAAGATGTTTCAAGATTGGAAGAAAGTCAAATTGCATTTCTGAGTGCAGGAGCGAGATCATGCGCTGCGTGAGGCACAAGAGGCACAATCCAGCACATTCCATTTTTTCTCTCGCAAGGGTGTGCTAAGTGCTTTACTAAGTCCCAGCCTTGACCACGCACGTAGAAGCAACATTGCTTCGTGTTGCTTCAGTCAATCTCAAAGAATGGCAGTGATCGAGCATGCAAGAGACACAAAAACCATGCGACAGAACAGGTTGCACTATGGTCACAACCAACTTTGTCCAGTTTTTTTTGGCATCACGCGGGTGATTTCGTAAAAATGACACAGACTGTCCATGTGGGCGTCTGAACATGGCATTTTGATCTAGGTGACCTTCGCAAGTTAGAATAAATTCTTTTCTTCTTAGACGCATGGGATTTACAGACCAGACAAGCAACCTTGCTTTAAAGGTGCAAGCAAAACTTCAGCAGCAAAAGAACGAGGTGTGGGCAGTGTGGGATATTTTCTAGATATTTATATTCCAATTGAACACCCACGAAAGTGTATTGACAGCGATGCTGTTGACGGATAGAAAATAAGGTACGAACTAAGCACAGCATTGTCAGTACAAAACATAGACATTTCCATCATCTGGCTAGTGTGCCTGAGTGACCTGCTAGGCAGAAGTACTGACTTCACAACTAAGCCAAGCCGAAGACTCAGTTAACTCAATGTTGAAAAAGACTATGTCTTTGAGAGCTTTGAGCGGTCTTGACAACGGGCAACGGGTCACACTCCCAGATTGATTGGCATGGACTGCCCAGTACATTTTAGGGATGTCTCTGCCTGTTTTCCTTCTTTCAACATTTGCACTTATTTCTATCTTAATTCTAGGCATTTTTTTTGCGATTTGAGCTGCGGCGCGTCGATCTCATGCGCATCTTTGAAGCTGCTTTGTCGAGAAAGATATGACAAAGATTGAAGAACTGTCAGGTACAGGCAGAATCTGTTTCCAAGAGTGATTTGGAGGAGGCGTGTAGACACTTTTTCCCAAATATCAGCATTGAGAAGGGTTTGCCCCAAACTTGAATGAAACAATTCCTATGAAATCTAATAGGGTCCTGAAATGTCTTGAACGGTTTCTTCAATCTTCCTCGATTTCTTGGATTTGTTTCTTGGGAGTCCGTTTTTTCGGTCTGACATGCTGCTTCACATGCTGCTTGACACCCTGCTTGATTGCTTGACCCCTCGACCAGGTCCAGCGTCAGATGGCCAAGCACTCAGGAGGCAAACGCCACAAGTGTCCCATATTGCTGAGATCCTGATCAAGTTTAGATAAACTGATAATTTGTTACAAACTGAGCAAGATCTTTGACATTCTGTCTGTGTATTCTGTGACATTCCGTGCCTCAGGAAAGCTTGAGGAAGGAGAGAGATATGTTTCAGGAGGATGTGGAGCATTTGCGGTGTGAGACCAAGCGAGCATGGCTGGTGCATGGATCGTGCATGGATCGTGCATGGCTGATGCATGGCTTGTAGGGATTTGTAGGGTGTGACTTTCCAAGGTGAGATTTCTCCAGATTTCTTTTGATATAAGAAACATTTCAACATTTCTCATATGAAACTTGTGGATCTCTTGTGGCTCTCTGGGCATTTTGATATCTTTGAATATATATTTTTTGATCAGTTTTGATCTCTTTTGCAGCTTTTTCACGACAAGGCAGTCTATTCGTGAGCGTCGAAGCGCTGAGAGCAGCCGCAGCCTGAGCAGCATGTCCTGCAGCATGTCCTGCAGTGCCGAGTAATGCAGTCAGATCCAGCATGCGTTTACTGACTTTACTGTACTAACAACTTGGGACAGACTTGCTGGATCTTGCTGGCAATTTGTTGATGTGACATTGATGTGTGATTACTTTACCTTATATTATTCAAACACATTCAAACATTGTTTGTGAATATTTACTGGTCATTGATGTTCATTTTAGGTTATTGGACCTAAAACAGTGAGCAACGAAGAGCCCTCTGTGTAGACATCAGGCCTTCGAGCAGCCCTGCAGGCTTGGCCATGAGCTTCGGAACTTGTAAGTTTGGTTTCAAGGTGTTTTACTTCGGTTAGTGGCGAATGATTGCTGTCTTAAAATATATATGCGCAATAGAAGCTGCCTTATACTTATACTTATACACTGAAAGGTCTAGGATTATCGTTTCATTTAGGGATATCGCGCTGGCTCTTTTCATAGTGAAGATCACAGTAGGTAGCTAACATCAGCTGTGCAGGTAGCTGAGCAGGTCATAGGATGTCACAGGTGTCAAGATGTCGTGCCAGGAAGAGCAGAACTCAAGCAGAATTTTGCATCAGGAGCTGGATGAGGTGGGACGGTGGCACGCAGGGAGATGAACTCCTGAAGATTCCAGAGATTTGGAGATTCGGAGAAGATGAGTGAAAAGGACCCCCAAAGGACCCCCTGAGGATCCAAGAAGGATGCTAATAATTTTTAATAGCACACGTCGCACAAACGAAGAGGTTGACTGGTATGCCATGTTAGCGCAGAAGGCACCTACAAGGCACGTGTAAGGCACCATGAAAGGTATGATGAAAGGTATGATGGGCTCGTGAAAAAAAATCTGTAGGGACATGTAGGGACAAGAATGGACAAGATTTCGCCTGAGGTGAAGAAACTGCGTTCCTTCAGTGTCGGCTCCCAGGCAAAGAACACTGGCTTTTTGATCTTTTTGCAGGTTCTCACATTCAAGTTAGGATAGGAGATATTGTGACCTTTACATGCAGACTCTAGTCATCTCTAGTCTCTGAGAATAAAGAATCCTTTACTTATTTTACTTTGAATTCTCAACTTGTGGTGAATCTGGTCATGTGATATGATATCACTCTTTCCACCTTTGTTCTGTTGTCAGTTTTGCAAAAACATGTTGGATGTTGGGATTCTGTTTTGGGACCTGTTAGGACGGCGTGTCCGTTGAGCCCTCTCCGCATCGTCCACGAGCAGGCCAGTAGGGGTGACACTCAAGCGGAAGCAGAAGTGGTATCTCCCTATTGAGTCCTACTTGCCGCTTGCCCCTAAGCGTAGGCCCAAACCAAGCATCATTTTGCTTCGTAAGCAAGCGCGGTAACTTTGGAACTGGAGCCGTCCAATTTATGTCGGCCTTCACAGACAATTTTGTATCCTTAAAGCCTTAAAACAATGCTGTTGCTCATTGCTAAGTATGCCACACGGCTCAATGTACAAGATGGTTTGCAAAGCAGATGCCATTTTGCCAACCTTTGCAATAGAGAAGCTCGGAGAAGCAGGTGCTTCGAGAAGTTCAAGCAAAGAGGTTGATGTGCAGCTCAGCAGATTTATTAGACTTGGCAGCTACAGAACATTTCTCGGGGTGATCTGATAAGACGAGCTTGAAGATATAAAGGCAACAAGATAAACATTGTAGGCAAATTGTAGGTACTGCAATTCATTGAACCAAACATCCGAAAAATCCGAAAGCTGAAGACTGAGGCAGTCATTGGCCACGCACTAAGATCTTGGGAATTTCTCGCCTTTGAACCCCAAAACTGTGTATTTCATGTGCAAATCAGAACCTGTTACGAGCCTGTTATGATTGAGGCATGTTGAGGCCCTGAATACCCCTAAATCCAACGCATTCTGATCGGAGTCATCCTGAACGGGCATATACTTTCATGATCTTTCATGGTCTTTGACGGTGTGTCACGGATCCCCGAAGCCTTGATTCTTGGCTCAGATTGCTTCTGTCGCTTTGTTATGTTTGTTAATACCTCTGGGAACCAAAGTCGCACTGAGTCCACCTGTCACACTTTTGCGGTTCCTGTTGTGAAGCGCCATTGATCCTTTTGAGTCGGTTCGTGTACCTGACAAAACTACCCATTGAACAGGAGGCAATAGGTTGAGTCCCTCAGGCTCCTTGATTTCTCACTTTTGGGATATTTTGGATGGATACATCATGATAAAGCTGCACCTTAGCTATCTTTCTCTCATCCATTTGGAATGTAAGTTACTGTAAGTTACTGTAAGTTGGTATTACCCTGCCTCTCTGGCTTCGGAGTTCCATATTTGATGGCCTGAGTACAGGCTCTCTGGAACTGTGCCAGCTCTTGTGATCTTTCCGTCTTGTTGGTCCTGGTCGTTGGCACGGGGTCAATTCTTGGACCTTGTTTGACTGTCTATGACTGTCTACCATGCGTTCTCTTCTCAAGAGTGGCACGTGTACAAAATCACAAAATGCATGATTGGCACGCGTCTCCAAGGTGCAGAAGATTCGTCAATCACAGCAGATCACAGCGCCTACAAGCAAGGACAGAATTGCTTTGGAATGCTATCGATTGTGGATCCCTGTCTCAATGTCTCAGCACGAACCATTTCGTTACGCTTTCAGCTCTGACTTCAGGTTGTGGACGTGACTCGTCTCGAGCCGAGGCCTGGAAGACTTTTGAGATTCTGAGTTCTGAGATGACAAGGTAATGACAAGCTAATGACAAGGACATAACGTTTCACCAAGTTGAACCAAAGGCTTTTGAAGACCAATGTTGATCAATGCTTGGTCGAGCGATGCTGAATCACGCTGAGTTGTTTTGTGCCTGGAAGCGTTGGCACGCATTATGACCCCAGGGACATCAATCGAAATCGAGCTGGGGTGCTTCTCCTAGACTTGCTGTTGCAATCTGTTGCAATTTGTCGCAATCTGTTGCAGCCAAACGAGGGAAAGGACACTACACTTGCAGCTCCACTTACTTGACTTAGGGCATTCGTTGTGAGTTGGCACAGTTATATAGCACAGTCAGCACAGTCAGCACAGTTAGCACGTCTACAAAATGTCAGATCTCATCTTGAACATGTACTAGGCAAGTCCTTCAAGTAGCTACGAGACCACCTCAGAGGAGCGTGGCCGTATCACTCTGCTCTCTGCCTCTGCTTCTCTGCTCGTGTTATCTGCGTGTTTCTTTGTGATGTCTTTGTGATTGCGTATCTTGTCGCTTGTCTTGGCCTTGGCCTTTGGAGCGATCCATTGCTCATTTCCAAAGGACATGGTAGATTTGACGAAGGCCGTCTAACATCAACGGTGTGGATCTCAGAGAAATCAAAGAAACACTTTCTGATGCTCAAGCGAAGCCAATCCTTTGAAGACTTCTGACGGGTCGGTAGTTTGAGATGCTAGCAGCATCTAGCAGCATCTAGCCGCATAGTGATAATGGCTTGCTGAAATCAGCGTGGTGTGCAATTCTACTGGAAGACACCCACAAGCTCGTCACTGCACCAATACAACCTGTTGCACACCTTCCATCGTTTTACTCTAGCCGGTCTCACACCTTTTAAACTAGGGCCGATCTATGCTTTGCGCTCACCGAACCAGAAACAGAATCGGCGGGCTTTGAGAGCAATTTACAAGTGCTGCCACAAGGACCCTCTTCCAGTTTACCATAAAAAGAGAATCTTGAGACTTGAGAGCTCCATAGATGAGGGACCTGACTTTCTGTCCGCACTCAAAGATGCTATCAAGTTTCGATTCATGATCATTTTGCTTCCACTTTCAGGTTCTTGCGCAGCCAATTTTGCAGCAAAGGTAGGAAGAAACTCGAAGTCATCTTTCTGTGATGGAGGCGGTGCCGAAGGGAATCAAGCCACTACTTCTTGAAGAGACTTGGAGATGGTATGGTCCAAAGGATCCAGTCACGCTGGAGGACCAAGTCTGAGCATTCGAAATCATATTTGAATCATTTTGAATCTGTTTATTCTGTTCTTTGCAAGGTCTTTTGTCATGAGCCACATTGTTGTGATTTGTTGTGTTAGAGGGAGCACTTTGTCTGACAGAGTACATAGACATACAGACATCGCGATTCATATTCCTTTCAAACCTTCACCAGGATGTCAAACAGGCAGGGGCCACTGGGATTGTGACTGCACTCCACGAGGTCGGGGTCTTAAAGGCAAAGGAAATCCTGGGCACCTTCGGTGCGCGCGGATTTTATTTGACAATCAAGTCATATGCATTCATATGCGGCATAGATGGGATCCAAAGCATCTCAGACCTGAACTGTGTCATGGGGCAGTTGGAGTGCAGCGAGGTCCCGATTGGAGAAGTTTGGTCTGAGGATGCAATTCTGGAGCTCCTTCTTGGACAAACCTAATTTGGACTCTTTCCTAGATTCTCAAGAAACCTAAGACCCTTCGGTTTAGCCTTTAGTTTCAGTGTAAGAGAAGACACAAGAGAGAATGAAGTTGGTGCATATCATGTCATTATTGTTGCTTTGTTGATCTTTGTTGTGCTTTTTGTTCAGTTCCTCACCCAGAGGAGCGAAAGAAACTTCTGGAGTCGAATGGCTTTACCTGGTCTGTTGTGGAGTCTGTGCCAGTGCATGAGAGCATCAAGCTGGGTAAAGAAGAACGAGAGAAGTACATTCAGGTGAGACATGGTGAGACATTTTTGAGTACGTTAGGACCTCTGTTCAGACTTTTTGAAAGACGTTGATTTTAGAATATTTTAGACATGTGGCAAGATATTCTAGAGAATACCGGAGATATTTCAAGTCAAGAGACAACGGCGACAACGGATTCCAAGGTGATGACTTAAGCCGAACTTCCCTGTTCCGGAGTAAATCACGATTCAACAACCAAATCTGGACGATTCAGAAACCAAGTCTCAGTCGCTTCAGAAACCAAGTCTCAGTTGCTTCAGAAACCAAATCCAGCGTTTCAGAAACCAAGAATGAACAATTCAGAAACCAAAATTCACTGTTTCAACAAATTTTCATACCTCTATGAGGGTTAACATAATGGCAGGGATTAAATCTGCCAGCCCCAACAAAATGGCACACCGAGTTCTGCAGCATGTTTGTTTCGTGGATTCCTGGATTGTCCGCACAGTGCAGGCATACAAGCAGACAGTACGAAACCTGGGCAAATGTGGAGTCCGACGGATTTGCTACAACTTCATGCCTGTCTTAGATTGGACTCGCACTGACCTCACTAGACGCTGGCCTGATGGTTCCGAAGCGTTAGCTTATGATGCAGATGACTTGGCTGCTTTTGACCTCTTTATCTTGAAGCGGGAAGGGGCGGAGAAAGAGTACGAAGCCTCAGCCCTGGCACGAGCACAGGCAATCTTTGAAAAGATGACAGAGAAAGACAAGAATGTATTGCAGCAGAATATCATTGCAGGCCTGCCGGGTCGCATGGTTGAAGCATACACAGTCGAAGAGTTTCGAGATGCTGTCGCTCAATACAAGAATGTGTCGACAACACAGATTCGGGAAAATTTGGCCTACTTCTTGAAGAGCATCATTCCAACCTGCGAGGAAGCAGGTGTCTACATGGCAATCCATCCAGATGATCCCCCTCGCCCAATTCTTGGACTTCTCCCGGCTTGCTCAACTCGTGACGATGTAGCGGCTTTGCTGAAGGCAGCAGATTCAAAGCACAATGGCATCACGCTCTGTGTTGGCACATATGCATCTTCTCCACAGAATAAGGCGTCAATGGGATATGGCGTGACTGTTGGTGACTGTGGTTGGCTATTGTTAGTTGTCAGATGTTGTCAGGCACTCTTTATCAAAGTTGAGTGACCGTGTGTCCCTCCTGCACACTTTTGTGAAGACTATATTCCAAAAGCTGTGGTTGTTTCATTGTACTGTAAGCAGGCAGCTACCAAGCATGTGAAGCATGGTCAGGCCAGTCAAACATTGATCCGAAAGACACGCCGTTTTATCCCATTTTGTCATTTTCCTATCGTGCCACTGGAGGTGGAGGAAATGGCCAAAGAGTTTGCTTCACGAACACATTTTGTGCATTTGCGAAATGTGACGAAAGAAATGCCTCCAGCACCTGAAACTGGCTTGGGGCCTGCTGGATGCACCTTCACTGAGTCAGACCACTTGGGTGGTGACGTCGACATGTATTCCATCATGCTGACCATGTTGCAAGAGAAGCAGCGCCGAAAGGCAGAAGGTTGGGAGGAGATGGCAGAGATCCCCTTCCGACCGGACCATGGACATAAGATGGTGGATGACATGAATCTGGGTCGCAAATGAGTCTGACGTCAGGGGTCCTTATTTTTGGGGTCCTTATTTTTGCCCAAAACAAAATTGCAAGCATTGTGAACACATGCAAACCCGGACGAGGACTTGGGATGTCACTGGATTTTCTATGATAGATTTCATAATCATTATAGATCATATATATATAATATAGTGTATGTACGTATATATATACATATATATACGTACATACATAAATACAATTCTATATCATATGTGGCATTTTGCGATTTTTATTAGATGCTAGTCACTAGTCACTTAGTCACTTTGTGATCTTTGTGTCTCAGGAAGGGCAAAAAGACAAATCCTGGCTACACTTGTATTGGTCGCCTCCGGGGTCTTGCTGAACTCCGGGGTCTTCAGCTGGGCATTGCCTCGGCAGGTATGGTGAAGGACTTCCGCATAGAATACATCACATGACACACACACACAGATATATATATATATTATATATAAATATAATATAATATTCATTACATTTCTTTGTATGTGATGTCTGGAGTATTTCTGAGTGTGTCTTCCTTTGAATTTCTGAGATTTGGTCAAAGATGCCTCTAGCTTGCACTTCCAATATTTCTGGACAAACTCAGAAATTCAAAAGAAAGAAAGGGGGAATAGCATTCGGATGCTTTTTTTGATCCAATTTGAGAGCTTATTCGTGTTGCTTTTGAAAATTGCCGCAGGAACCGGATGCCAAGAAGCAGCGGACAGGCTAAGATTGGGCAAAATGCTGACAGCAATCAAAACGGCTGAGGAGGCTGAGGAGCCTTTGAAGTCTTTGAGATTGTCAAGAGTTTGTATTTTGAGTCGCATTTGTTTGAAGAAATGCTGAACATGCACGACTCGTCGAACCATGAGACGTTTGCCAAGTATCCACAAAGCTAGGGTCAGCCCTCCAAGCAGCCTGGTTTGTCAAATGCAAAAGCAGAGATTCAAGGCCAGGAAGCTCAGCAATTCGTTTCATCAATTTGAGCAAAAAACCAAACTCGTTTTGCATCAGATCAAAAGGCATCGCCTGGCAGACTTGGTTTCGAGCAGACTCCAAACAAGTACATCCCGGGAAAAAACATCTACTAGGCACCTGCGGAAGGGTTGATGTCAAACAGTTTATGTCTACAATATAGAGAATCTATGTAGTCTCTCCCAAGAACTGCGATGAACCATTGGCGTCAGACCACCTTTATGCTATTCTTTGCTTGCTCGAGTCGTTTTAGTCATAGAGGAAGAAGAACAGGTTTCATTGTTAGCTTTCTATTTAGATATAAGGAACAACATCAGCACATGTACAATGCTCCAGTCCGCTTCAGTCATATTGGAGTGAATGTCTCACGCATGGAAGCATCGAGACCAGAAATAGGAGGTCCACGAGACTCTCGATATCTCTATCCTGCTTCCTACCGACTACCCATGTCGTCACGAAGCCTGAGTTTCCAAATGGAGCCTGGTGGGTTTGCGGGCCCAGTGTCACTGCAAGTGGTTCATCACATCCCCGGGATCGCTGAGGATCCCTGAGGATCTGTGGGGATCCCCGTGGCTCTGTGTCGAGGTCTACCACCATCATCACTTCCAATGGGACGAGCGAATTCATGCCTCTCTTTCCTCACGAAAGCTCACTTGTGCCTGGGCGAATTCAGGAACTCAATCGCCAAACGGCCTTTGCCCTGCACCTGCTTCTTTGTTGAACGCATTTCGAAGCTACTTCGATCTAGTTTGTGTTGTTCCATGTTGTTCCATGCTGTTTCTGTTCCTGTAGAACTCTGGCAGCATTTGAGGAGCTTGGAGGATGGAAGCTGCAAGACTATGGAGAGTGTGCCTCTTACAGAAGCTGCTTCGATGTCAAAGCTGGTGCAAGTCTGCCAAGATTAATTGACCATGATGAGCCGAAATCAAATTGCTCTTGTGAGTTTTGATTTGTCATTTTGCCTTGGCTCTGGCCCAGGCGGTGGCACTACGTTTTTGTGTTCCCTGCGGAGACGGAAGATGCGAAGAATGCCGATTACTGGACTTCGGAGATGCCAGATGCTTCCGGAGCCTGGGACAGGACAGGGCCAAGAAAACGCCGCAAATTCCTTAAAATTCCTTAAACATCCTTAAAAATCCTGAACATTTTCCAGAATTCCTCAAACGCCGTAAGGCTTCAACTGGTTCCAACTGGCTCCAGCTGCCAGTGCCAACCGATGCCAAGTGACTTAGGGAAGTCTTGGTCTCCTTTCATCTCCGCCGCTGGTACTCTCTGTTGGCTCTCATGGCAGGATTTTTCATGTTTATGTCCTCTTTACCACGTTTTGTCCTCAAAGATTTTGACAGGGTGATGCCTTTCGAATCCTTTAGAATCTTTAGACCTTGGGAGGATCTTCACTCAGCAGTACAACACTGCTCAGATGGACTTCCTCAAACCGATGACGAGGACAGGAGGGCGACGCGGAAACGACATATGAAAACACCCTGAAAACACCCTGAATAGCTCGTCATCATTTTGCACGCCGAAAACTCCACTGGAGAAGACCGAATGGGATCAAAGCATGCAAGACAGTACAGGAGATCATTTGATGCATGACTTAGATTGATTTAGTCGATTGTTTCATTTGATGCTCTTTCCTGAAGCAGAAGCATCTTGTTTCTCAGAGCATGCCATTATGGTCGCTTCGCGACGATAAAGGCCTACCCCGCAGCATTTCAGTCTGAAGCGCAGATGGAACATATCTTAAAGTTGATCTTCAAGGACATTTGGAGTATATGTATATATATATAAGATGTCATATATTACATCCAAACACCCATTTTAGACAGAGACTTTAGACAGCCCCACAGGCGCTTGCTGAACCTATGCCCATGTTTTAGTGCCATTCAGACGCCATTCCACCAAGACAAGCACCCAAAAAAGAGCAATATCGCTTTAACAACTTCGCAGCGACCAACTCAGGCCGAACATAATCTCCATGTCGGGTGCTGGGATTGAAACAGCCAAACATAGGCTCAAGAATCAAGAACATACTTTGAAATGAAGGCTATATAAGTGCAAAAAGTCAAACATATCGAGCCAAAGGTTCTGAAAAAAAATGAATTGGACCGATGTTCAGCCCATTTTGTGCCTATTTTGATGCCATCCAAGGCCACTTGGGCTTCAGGACACAGTTCCGAGACCATCGATGTGCAAAAAGTCAAAAAAAAAGTGCAAAGGCAGTGCAAAGGGAAGGTTCTGGAGCGAAGCGCCACAAGCGCCCGGGTGCTTTTCGGCTGGTGCTGATGCTGACGCTTTGGATATCAACTTGTGCCCTTGGGGTATTAATGCTACGTATTACGCCTCAGCAGCTTGCTGGCGGATTTGCAATTGCTTTCAACATCTCTTTCAACTGCCTGAAGATAATCGAATATCATCTAATATATTCTAATATCATCTACTTGGTTTGCATTTACGGGCAGAAATGCTGTATGCTACTGTACGGCTGCATGACGAGTTCAAACAGACAGGTACTCAGGTATCACAGGTATCACAGGTATCACAGGTATCACAGGTATCAAGTCGCTCATCTCAGTGATCATCCCCAAAAATCCCGCCGTGTTCCAGGAGAGAATTTCACAATGTCGTGCCTTCTTCTGCAGAAACTCCCGCTTGAACCCCCGCTTGAAGGGCAAATCGAGAGTTGCAGTTGCATGCAGTTGCAACACCTTCAAGGTTTTCGCATTTCGCATCTAGAAACTCCCATTATGACCCATTATGTGGTGAGTCGGTGTGAGTCCGTCCTTTGGTGATGATCTCTTTGCTCATTGGCTCCATTCAACTGGTCTGTCAGCGCACCAAATGTTTGAAGCAAATTGTTCTTCCAAGACCTGTTGGAGTTAGAGGGACACTGCTAGATATACTGTCGTCCAATTTCAAGGTTCGAGAGCAGCTAGTAGGGGCCTCAGAGAGCATGTTTCTTCTACTTGTAGGAACCAATGGAGGAAACACAGAAGGGATGGTTTATGATTCAAAATAGTTTATTGTAAATACTTTTTTTGGTAGGGCATGCTTGCTACTGCTATTCTGCAAGTAAAGTGATGGCTCACAATCAGCATACTGTGAGGATCCTATGACTATCCCGTGCTGAAACGGCACTGCTGAGGTTGAACTCCTGTCTGGCCCGATCTGTGCCTTCAGATCCCACGAGTTTAGGTGCCTCGATGCGTCAACTCGTTTGCCACGCGGCAGTCTGAGTCATGTTTTTGACGCGGGTTTGATGTGTAAGTCTGTGTGAGTTTTTAAGTCGTTGAATACCTAGCGTATCTTTTAACATCAATCGAGAACCAACCACTCCGCGATCGTTGCTTGCTTCAAAAACTTTCCTGACATAGACAGTATGCCAAAGGGAGCGGGAGCGAGCATAGATCTGCCGATTTTTTTCATCTTTTCCTGAGCAGCCTTTGCATACAATAAATTCACACATGCGCAGCCTTCTGATACAGCTCCAAGTGTCTTGTGAGCACAATTGAGGAGAGATCACTTGATCTGGTTACTTATGCATCATCATGGAAAGGAAGGATTGCCAACAAAGGGAAACAAGCAAATGCCAAGTTGTGGCAGCTTCACACGTTCCAGAGGCAAAACAGAGTACTGTAGGCGAGCAGCGATCATTTCCATTTTTCATGTAGCATTGAATTGTAGCTCTGCTGTCGTCAGACCCGTAGCCGCCGTAGCTAGTGGAACACATTTTTTTGGTCTGTGCAAAGTTGGTATGTCCAAGGAGCATTGATGGAGATGAGCAATTCTTGCTCATTGCGTTGGATAATCCTGAGGCCTTTGCAGCGGAACGACAGTATTCATTTTCTCTCATACGAAATTCTCATCTTTCTAGACTTAAGATGGCTTGGCTTATTGATCAGCACTTGTACCTCTGGCACGGCAGGTCATAAAGGAGGTTGCCAAAGAGGAAGAGTTTCCTGCGACTCAGCAATGAAAGTCATATGACAGGAAGGCTTTGAACACAGGACAGAACGCTGTAGATACCTGCAAATGAGTAGCAAACTATCATACAATATATACACTCAAATCGCTTTTTGCCTCAGTGCATTTTGGCCCCACCCATTGGTCAAAGATGAACTGAGGCGATGCTCCTTACATCAGCCTACAAGAAGTACAACTGTCCCACTGACTTGGCAGAAGGCTGGCTTGAAATGATCGGTGCATCGGAGTGCCTCTACAGAGCCCCTGTAACCTGTAGTGACTGTAGTGATCTTCACGAAAGCAACAGTGTGGTAACAGGTATGTAGCTTGCTGTTGGCTTGCTTTGCTTGACATGTGATATCTATCATGTCGAGGGCCCCCACAAGTCTCCCAGCGACATGCGAAAAAAATAGTATTTTGTACTGTATCCCCGCCAACTCAAAGAGGATGTAGCATGAGCTTGAGCTGCTCCAACAGTGTTAACACGCCGCCAAACTTGGTGAAGGTATCAAGCAAGACAGAATTCATTAAACACCTGAGCAATCCTGAGCAGCAACATGGCAGTCCAACACACGCCCTCTTACAAAATCACCAAAATCAGCAGGACCCCATACAATTTGCATGCGCGATACCTTCATGCCAGTAGACTTGGTGAAGGTATCAAACAAGACAGAACTCAGCACCAACGTAGCAGTTGCAACACACGCTCTCTGTCCAGAACCACAAAAATCAAGAATACTCGATACATGCACTTTCTATGCGTGATACCTTCACAGCGCGAGACTTGGTGGATGTATTGAACAAGACAGAATTCAGTACACACTGCAGCAACACAACAGCTTAACACATGTGCTCTATCCGGAGCACTCGATCCACACCATTTCTATATGCGTTACCTGCACGCTTGGGCGGCTTGCTAATTGGATTTAGTTTTGCTTTGGCAAACAGGTTTGGCCCTCCCCTCCTTCCCCTTGTGGATTCAAGATCCGAAGGCGAAGATGCTACGAAACTGAATTTTGATGTCTTCAAACCGCCAGACAAGCTTTCATTCCGTTTCCTTTGGCCTCGAGTCGTTTGTTTTATTTTGTTGATTTTTGCAACAAGACTTCGACCCGGTGGTTTGTTGATGCGATTGATAAATGATGTTGCGTTTTGCACAAGTGGGGTGGGGTGGGGTGGGAAGCAGAGAACGTTGTTTTGCCTGTCTTTCAACATGCTCTTGATGCTACGCTATGGACTTTTCCCGTGACTTTTGACACGCTCTTGATGCTACGCTACGGTTGACAGTGCGTGGGTTCATATGAAAAATAATATCCCTGCCAGTCTCAGCTCTAAGTCACCCCTAATTGAGACCAGTATTCGTGCTTGGCAATGGAGATTCACGCGCTATCATATACCTGCTTTTGGCTGCCGGAAACGAACTCAACTCAAGCTCAGGTGAAGGAAAAAAATGCGCGCGAATTCAAAACTGAAAACATGAAAAAATGCAATTTTACCTCAGAAAACACAGGCACAATCCAAAACACACTGTAATTACATGCGTTTTGTGCTTGCCAAGGTGTCAAAAACACTGTAAACACCACGTTTCTCAAAGTTGATGAATTCCTAAAATCGCAACGACTACACGCTCAGTTTCCGACCCGGCGGGTCGTTTATGTCTTCCCAATGCACAGGTGGCGGCATGTTCCGCGCGAAGAAATATGGCGTAGCTTGGCATTTCAAAAAAGACCTTCACATTTCTAGCCACGACGAGAATGCTCGTACCTCAAAGACCCTGTGTCCGCACCACTTCAATGTCTGCAAAGAATGTCTTTGCGACATAGTCATGGCTCATGATTTGGAAAACCCAGGAGCACATTGACGGGACTATGCACACCAACCACTATCCGGGCTACGTCACGTGTTCGAATCGATTGAATTTCAATTGCTTTGATGGACTTTGCACCAGTGACTGTGTGATTGGGAGGCGGCCAGATCCCACTGCCTCCTTTTTCTGTGTCTCATCAACGCCTCTAGGTCCGCTTTTCTGAGCACAATCAGAATCTCCTAGCCCAATGGAACCAGGAGGAGCTCATTAGATTGGTGCGAAGGCACAGCAAGATTGCAAACAAGGGTCATTCACTTTGCTACACTTTTCATTTCGCTATACTTTGCTTTTAGTTTGTTCTTTTAGTTGTATTGGGGTTGATAGGAGTCACAGCTTTCTTCCGCTCAAAATTAAAAAAATCGAAGTGCACTCGTTGAGGCGCATGAAAAAGTTCGTGCGGCTTCAATCGCTGATCTCAGAAGCCCGGCGAACCTTTGAACCTTCAAAGACTATGACTATGTAGATCTACGTAGTGGCATCATGTGGCGTCTATTGGCTAGGACTAAGTGAGGCAAGTAGACTTCCATGACTTCCATTTATAAGCTGCATGGCTTTCGAGCATTTTCGAGCAATATTTTGCACAGTATCGGTTTGGATCTGGCTCTGGAGGGCTGTTCGCATGGCGAACTTTAGCACTTGCGTTGCAGTCGCTGGCTGTGGCAACCCAGGAAGGCGTAGCGAAGCAAATCTTCTGCGCTCATCACTGGCAAGATCTCTCCACATTTCGGAACAAACTAGGCTGGAATGCTCCTCGATAGCAGATCCACCTTGGCTTCGACATTCTTTCCACTCTGCTCGCACAAACACCAAGCTTTAGTTCGAGTCAAATTGCTTGAGAATGCACTTGCGTTGAATCGGAAGTTAGCACACTCGCCCTAGAGTTTGGATATGAGGATCCTTACTATGTGCTGCAGTGGCCCACGGAAGAACTCCCTGATTGCACCTTGTTTGGCATGGTTCAAGGTTTCAGAAGCTAGTTTGAAACTCTGTGGAAGAGCGCTTTTGACTTGTCGGAGCTAGTCTCCAGTATGCACACAGCTTCCTATCAATATTCCTAATGCTGACACCAACGAGCTACAAGTTGGGCCAAGGCATTCAGGTTTACTTTGGACCTGACATCGCCTTCTTTTTTCACTGGTTCAATGCGTACACGCAGCTCGGCTGACTTGGCTGCTATGTTGTATGATGTTGAGTCTAGTCCTTCACTGCAGTTGGTTAATCAATGAGCCGTTCCTGATCCGAGTTGATCCTGCGGTTGAGCTTCTAGAGCCTTTGTTCAATTTGTTTGATAGTGTCACAAGATTCACAAGTCTCTGAAGGATCACTCAGTAATTTTAGTATGATGCTGGTTTTGGTTCACATCTGCGGTACTGTGCCTACAATGTATTTCGCTAGTCCGACATTCAGAAAAGATACTGCTTTTCCACCGACTTTTCCACCGGTTCTGCATGTCTGTGTTTTCCACGCTGTTCCTTGCGTTTGCTTAGATGTCTTCCAGGCGTTGGTTGCTGCTTCCTGCAGCTCTTTGCATACCCATTTGGTTGGAAGAGCAAGTTTCCGTGAGGCAGACGGGAAGTGATCTCTTTGACTAGTAACACGTGCCAGTGGTGTATTTCTTGCTATACCATCATACAAATAATAGGCTCCCGTTCTTTTGGAGTTCAAGCCGAATGCCTTATCTATATATATAGACATATTTCAATTTACTATGTATGTGCTGGAAATGTCAGAAGCTGTAGCTCTACAGATGCTTTGGCAGATGTTTGGATTTCTAGAGAGCGGACTCGTGCGTTCCCAGCCACTTGCCTTGCAGGAACGGGACTGCCTCTTAGCTGCACATGTCGATACAAGTCGACTCTGTGTCAAGCCTCGAAGCCTAAGAGATGACATCAGCGATGCTGACCCTGTCGTCACACATGCACACAGATACTAAATTTGGAGAATAGGTGCCTTTTAAAACGTCTAGGAGTCTAGAATTTGTTTGCATTTGTTTGCACTGCATCTCTGCCCGAGGAAGAAGAGAAGTGGTGGTTGCAACTTTGCTTGTGAAAGTACGAAGGTATCCATGTTTGAGTCTTGCTTGGAGGGCTATGGCGGCAGGATGTTAAGAATTCCACAGTCCCACAGAAATTGACTTTCCACTTAGCTCAGATCTGCAACATTTCAGTCAATTGAAAACTGGTCATAATTAGTTCATGTCAACAAAAATGCTTGGGCCAAGGTATGTATGTTTCTCCATATTGTTGGGTCTTTGGTCTACTGCATTTCTGTCCAGGCAGGGCACGACGGAAATTGAGAACGCAGACTGATTTCTTATGTAATTCGCAGAATGGGGACTCAATGTCAGCATCGCCACGAAAAACTTCTCCTCTGCCAGAAAACGGCACTGATGAACCAGCAGGTGGCAAGACTGTTTGATCTGCGCCAGGTACAAGCACAACAAAAACCTGAAGGCGGGTGATTTATCAAGATTTCGTTGTTTGTGTGGCCATGGCATAGAGGCCAGTCACCAATATTATCTTTAAGTTTTCGATATTTTTTAAGCAGCTTGTTGTTTGCAGACGTTAGATCGTCCTGAAGTGGAAATGCGGCTGTGTGAGCTTCGGTTGCTTACCTTGAACCACCTGAGCAGGTCCTGAAATGGGGTATGCAGAACTATGAAGAAGCTGTTGCCGAAGTCCGCAGGCGAAGCTGTTAATGTTGGATGAAAAGAAAGGCCTCTTTCTATACGATGTCAAGATGGCATTGGAATGGTTCCCATTGAACTTCCACAATTTTCAAGATGGCAGGAATTTCAAGGACAAGTACAGAGACACCTGGGCGGAATGGCTCCAAAACGCTTTCCACTGGACTGAGCAGGGGCTGATGTGTTTTTGCGAAAGCTGACGAGAACATCATTTTGGACCATCGAACTGCTTGCAATTTCAGTCAGTGTTTGAGTCTTACGGGAACTGGCGAGCATTTTTTTGCATAGTCCGAAAAAGATCCTTGCAACTAACCTAGCTAGGACCTCGCAATCTTTCAATAAAAGTACACGGCAATAAAACCGAGACAAGAGGTAAGGACTTCAAGAGCAAGCAATTCCGTACCTATTGCTGTCTGTCCTTTTCCACACCCAAACACATAAGTCACGTACGTCCGCAACCTGTTGGTCCTATGTGATGTGAATCACATGTGCATTGCACATTAAGTGGACATTTGTTCCCTGAGGCCACTTCAACTGATTCTATCTTGCATATCACATCCTGCTGCACATGTGAAATATTAACACACAAACCGAAACAAAAGGTGCCAATCGTTTGATATACCTGTATCGCATCAATCGTTTTTTGCATCATGGAGGATGCTTTGTGCGCTCTTCATGCTGGAGACTGTTCTTGTGACTTTCTTTGTGACCTGGCTGCGAAGCCTCGCCTTCATTCAGCTGCCAAGTGCCCAAGACAATGCCATGGAATGACACCCTTCGTTTGCATAGCCTGGCATAGCCTTGCAGCTTCTGTGGAGTTTGCAGACTGAGATTTGCTCCGAAGCGACTTGCAGGTGAGCACCTGGCGGAGAAAAGCACTTGAAGAACCACTCGGCACATTCTTTGGCATCGAGCCGCCAGACTCAATGTCAATTAGATTCAATGCAAAGTGTGGAACAGATTGACAAAGGTCTTGACAAAGGTTGACAAAGGATCAAACGTTTCACCTTCGAGAGGGCAGTCCATGAGTTGTACAAGAAGATAGTGTGCCAGAAGGACAAACGTGTCTACAAAGAGTGCAAGGAGTGCGGGTGACCGTGCTTGGAAAACACATTTGCCTTGGGAGCCTCTTGCTTCAGTCAGGAACACAAAGGCACGCCTCTATGGCAAGTTGCTTGGCAAAGATGTAAGGCCACAATTCCAAGTCTGTGGCTTGCTGTCAGTACATGTCTCCATCCTAGCATCTCCATTCTCCGCCCTAATGTTCGTCGCGCGTCCTCACAATCAAGGACTGCTGTCACGGTCAACATCAAGATAATCGACTATCTTTGGACAGCGCTCTCCACCAGGCTCTCCAACATGGAGAACTGGAGGACTGGGTACTGGGAAGATCCGCGGATGACAGAAGGTTGCAAGACACTCACAGACGCAAAAGCACAGCTGGTTGCTGACAGTTTGAGGCAAATTCCTACGCTCTTTACCTGGCCATGTCTTAGCGACTTGCATCTGCTCATGCAACTCAAGCAACTCAAGCAACACACAGCTCTTTGACCGCCATCGAGGACACGCGGAGAACTCTTGAACAAGATGTCTGAAAAACTGTTTGCGGTAAAGCGCCGTGACTGAAAAACTATCACAACGCTCGGTGAACAGCCAGTGGAGTTCCTATCAAAATGAGGAGAGTACACGTCTATTGCAAGTTCATTCTTTTCCCATGTTTATTGTTTCGAGTTCAGTTCCAATTCACTAAGTGCAATATGTACCTGTTCGACAGGTTTCCTCCATATTCCGTGACGTGAAAGTTGGGGGTTGGGGGTCCGTTCTTTGAGGACTTAGAGTCTGTCAGAAGCGCAAAGTTTGCAGAATTCTGAAAGCAATTTGCATGACAACAATTCCTTGTGTTCACTTTGATTTACAATCAGAAGAATGGCCCGCGGCCTGCCTGAGGTTTGTGGTGTTTTACTATCCGTTCCTGTACACGTGGCTCGGCTCTGAACAACCTATGATATCCTGGGCAAGATGCTGAACTGCAACTTCACATGGTGGCCGGCAAAGAAATTGTACCATAATGTCACAATGTGTTAGGATATTATTTGAATTCATAATTCATAATATATCATTCGATATCGTTGATTCATTCATTCATTCATTCGTTCATTCATTCATTCACTCATTCATGCGGTCAGTCAGGCAGTATTTCAATCAGTCGCTCAACCATGCAGTTGTGTGTCCCATGGAATGCCTAAAGACTTTCCTGTAGACCATCCATCTCCTATAGCAGCTTTTTTTTTTGACACTTCCGCCCCTGCGCCGCTGGGCATTACTGGTATCATGATTAATTATGAATCATTGGAATTGAAAAGACACTTCACAACCGATACTCGGCGAACTTGCAGTTCCATTATCACAAATCCTCACCACCGATTCTGATAGGGGACGACGACCCTGTTTGTCTAGGGCATTTTGACAAACAAGTACTGTTGGATTCCACTCACACAGTTTCACCCTATTTTTCTCCAACAGCGACTCTCCGACCTGAGAATCTTGATCAAACCCTACGTGAGCGATGACAGCATTCAAGTTTGCTTCGAGGCTGGAAAACTTTCAGTTTCAGTTTCATCATACAAACTACATGGCAAACTACATGGCAAACTACATACATGAGCGATGTTCGTATTTATTCAAGTGCCCTAGGTCCAATACAAACGAACTGGGAACATTTCTTCCTGTCAGCTGATTTAACGGCATCGTCAGGCGCTTAGCGGTGACTTGAAACTGTTCTTCTTCACACAGATCTTTGTGGAGGCTCTCGGGGTTAGGTTTCGGTAAACAACTTCAAACATCTTCAAACAACTTCAAAAACCGAAGAAATGAGGACAGGTTGAAGTTGACAGCGCTGCTGCCGCACGGCTTATGTTTTTTTAGCTCAACAAACCGTGCTTAAGCAGTCAGGATGTGGCTGAGTGTAATCCAACTATATAAGGAGTTTGGATTGAGGAACTAAAGTTCTAAGCCACCAGATAGTTCCAGAGGTGAAGGTTTCAAGAATTCCAAAACCAATGTTTCAATCGCGTTGCATTGTGACCGAGAAGTGGTTCAAAGGACAAGGTCCCGGAAGGTGAGAGTGAAGTGTGGGAGCGACTGCCGTTTGGTCATTTGCCTCGCGTTGTGATTGTTGTACAGTATGAATATTTTGTTGTATATTGTTGTGTGGGATATCAGCAAGATGCGATTGTGTGCAGTATTGAAGCTGTCGCGTGCGGTTTTGAAAGTGACGAAGCCATCGAGCGCCTAGCTAGTCACTAAGTCCTAGTTCTTCTTGCCTCTGCCTCTTCAAGGTCAGGGTCATTGCAACTGCTACATAGCCTACATAGCGCATGCAACGGAACACAGGTGCTGGTTTTGTTTGTCTACGTTGGTCGAGCTTGGCTCAAGGTGCGGAGGGTGGGGAAAAGATTTGAAGAGACGCAAAGGACAAGTGGAAGATCAATTTGATGAGATTTCACCGTTGATGGTTAACATCGAAGACAATCCAATGAATCCAATATGATAATATGTTTGTAAATGTTGTTTGCAATGTGTCTATCGCGTTGTTCCAAGCAACCTATGTCCATCAATGTCCATCAACATCCGACAAGGTGAAGTTGCTGTCACTATTTGTCTTCAAAATTGTCTTATTTGTCTTCAATTGTCTTCAAATACTTGGAGGGGCCATTGGGGGAACGTATGCTCTGAACCCATGAGCCTGCCACAGTGTGACAGGTCTTCTTGGAGATCCGCAAGACCAAGAGTAAAAGCTCCAACAAGCAGTACACCTACCTTGTCTCTCGGACAATATGGACAACATATGGACAACATCTTTCGCAGAGTTCGGACATGGATGCAACATGATGCAACCATTGCGTCATTTCTGCGAGGGGAGCAGTCTTTTAGCAGTCTTCATCCGACGTGATATTATGAGATCGCTTGAAGCCTTTGTATATCTTTGTATGTTGACGACTGTGACTACTCAGGAATATCAGGCAAAGTGTGCTGAATATTCAGACATCGAGCCTTAGCTGTTATGCAGCGACCTGACTTTTCTTCCACCTGTGCCTCCTCGTGTCTCCTTCCCTCGCTCTCGCAAGTTTGCCTCTCGTTTTGACCTAAAGTTAGACAGCCATCATCCTTGAACCTTCGTCGTACCTGTTGGAGCTCATCTGCGGAACGCAGTACGTTTTGTTCACACTCTTGCACCTTCGGGAAATTGCCAGAAGGACTTCAGCAGCTGAGGATTTCATTTGTGATGTGGAGCTTCAAGTCATGAACTATGGATTCCTTGTATTGCTCCTCCCACTGCAGAAAGATCCTGTCACCGCACCTTCTATCTGTAGAAAAATCGGCAGCAGCAAACTGAATCAGATACTTCCAGGAACAACACTGCAAGTTCAAGGGTTTAGTGCTTAGCCTTCTACCCCAAGGTTTGGAGTTTGCTTGCCCTATGTGCATCTTGGCTGCTTCGAGTTGGCCTACAGCATTTGATTTTGATTTCAAGTTCAAACCGTTCGTGCCTTTGAAGCACACCAGCGAAGACTACCTGCAGCTGCACAGCTGCACCAATGAGGTGCTTCATATGTTTCTTTGTGAATTTCCCGTGCCTCAGTCCGTCGGGGAAAGTTCTCAAGATTTCTCAAGCATGCTGTCGTGGGACATGTAGTTCTGTGATGTCCCTAGCCATGTGATGTTCGGGAGGGGCTCACTGTACTTCTTGTACACCCCGCGACTAGCACCCCAGAGTCTTTGGTAGAACTTTGAGGTTCAAGCGAATGCTTGCGCTTGGACCCCAGTTCAACCGTCCTCACTGCGTCAGTGTGGAACAGATTGGAACAGATCGAAATGGCCCAGCACCATCACTGCAGTGGAACAGTCAATGCAACGACAGGTATAAGCTTTCGTACATCTATCAAAGACCAAGCCCGTTTGGTGCAGAGGGGATTGGAGCTGGGGAGGACAGATGCGGCTGGGATTCCTCGGATGGTACGGGACAGTACGGCTGAGAGAGATACTGATTCCGAGTCGTTGCATTGGGAGCCGAGAGTCGTTCCTAGCCGCCCTAGCCCTGCTGTTTTGCCAACACCCTGACAACCATGGCAGCCTTACTATATGAACCTTATTTTGTGGTTCTGAAAGATAGCTATCTGGAGCATACTCACACACACACACACCTTTTTCTTGGCAGCAAAGGGCGGGAAAGCACTTCTTGTGAGGAGATGATCACGGTTCTGTCTTGGCTGGGTGTTGTCTTCAACGCCTATTTGGCCATCAGACTCAGCATTCAGTCAAGGTGAAATCACATGCAAGAGTTCATCTGTGATTTCATCATTGTGGCTGTCCTTCAGAGTCTCCACTTCTGTGAGGTCATTTTTGTTTCGCCTCTGTGTGAACACATGAGTTGCTCGGCCCACTTTGATACATGGACAGTGTTTGCATTTGCACGACCCCAATGGTTACCCTGGCTCATGCAGCCGAAGGCTTTGGAACAAAAATGTGTTACTTCGTTGCTGTTTGGCACTCAGACACAAGGTTGTTGTCAGTCATTCAAATGCTTGTCATTTTTGCAAAAAATGGGCCACATTTGAGAGCCCACAGACTACAGATGACCGCAAATGTGATCGCATTGCTGCACAGGCCGAGCATTGCTTGCTCGTTTTGAAAGTGGTCATTGATGCTGTTGGGCTCTCAACACTGGCAAGTTGCATTGTAGAGCGCAACAACCATGACACAAGCAGGAAAAGCAGAAGAACACGTACTCAACAAAACAAAGATCCGCAGAAGACTCCAATAAAATCAGACAGATTCTTATTGAATTCTTATTGAATTCCTAGTCGTTTGAGACTTGCTATTGAATTCCTATTGGTGCTCTGTTTATCTCTCATCTCTCAACCTCTCTGCCAGGCGCTGGGCCCAAAGAGCATGGCACAGCGCCGCATCGAAGAGCTTGGTTCCCTAGGAAGCTGCGTGAGCTGCGTAAGCTGCAGTGCATTGAGCTTCGGTGGTACTCCTTGTTGCTCCTTGTTGCTCCATACCCTTGCTTTGGTAACTTTGGTATCCAATCTGGAATGACTGCGATTCTTGAAAGCCCCCGCTGTGCCAACATGCCAACATGCATCGTTGTTCCTTGGCCCTGAGGCACCAGGACAGGGTCATTGAGCGGATTCTGCAGCTGGGACTGTACGTGCTTTGTCCCCTGAATTAGGCTTCTTAAAGAGATGAATCGTTTGGTCACCTTTCCAATATTTTTTCCAATAATCATTCAGTAATCTCCATTCTCCGAAATGACATGTGTTTGGGGCAGAGCCTTCACCTGCGTGAGACGTACTAATTTTGCGTACCGCGTATTTAGAGCTAAATCAAATTTAATCAATCTAAGTTTTAGTTCGAATTAAGTAATGTAGTGAGCTGTGTGATACTGATTCGTTTGCCCTTTCGAGGCAAGAGAACAGCAAGACGGAGAAAACTGGCCACTTGAAGGCAGGGTTTCAGACGGTACTGCAGAGGCAGTGTCATATGTTTTTGATTCAATGGTTAGAGATGAACACATCATTTCAGTTTGCTTGAACCTGCAGCTACTGCCGCTGTGAGGTAAGAACGCTCTCCCAGCGGTCACTGCAGTCCACAAACATAGGCGCCATCCGCTCTTGTTGTTTCCTACCTGATAGCTAGACAAGTAGCATTGGGCATGGGTTGCCTATTGTTATATTTGTCTTATATACCAGTAGTACCGCACAAGGCGGTGGCGGAAGTTTCAAAAATAGGAAACCTATAGGAGAGGTTGGCTGTTGTGGATTACGCATGGCAGAGCGAATCCACTGATGCACTGATGGACCGAAAGGTGGTTGGAGTTGTGTTTTCTGGAGTGGCTGCCATCGTTGCAGTAGTCACCTCACCACAACTGCTGGATGTAGTGTGGTGTAGTGCAGTTGTAGTTGTAATTGTAGGTGTAGTTGTAGTTGTAGCGTAGTGGAGTTGTAGTTTTAAGTTGTAGTTGTAATGTAGTGTAATTAGTGTAGTGTAGTTGCAGATGCAGTTGTAGTTGTGGTGTGGTGTAATTAGTGTAGTGTATTGTAGTGTACTGTAGTGTTGTGTACTGTAGCGTGGTATAGTGTAGTGTAGTCTAGTGTATTGTACTGTAAAGTAGTGTAGTTGTAGTTGTAGTGTAGTGTCGTGTAGCGCAATGTAATGGTAGTTGCAGTTGTAGTGTAATGTAATGTAATTAGTGTAGTGTAGTGTTGTGTAATGTAGTGTAGTTGTAGTTGTATTTGTAGCTGTAATGTACTGCAGTTTAATTAGTGTACTGTAGTGTAATGTGGTGTAGCTGTAATGTAGTTGTAGAGGTGGTGGTGGTGGTGGTGGCGGTGGTGGTGGTGGTCGTCGTCGTCGTCATCGGCCGTCGTAGTAGTCGTAGTAGTCGTGGTCGTCGTCGTCGTCGTAGTAGCTGTAGTAGTACAGTAGTAGTAGTAGAAGAAGTAGTAGTAGTAGTAGTCGTAGTAGTAGTAGTAGTAGTAGTAGAAGTTTTTTCTAAACTTCCTTCGATCATACGCCTACGCTCAGAGCACTTGCAAATAGCCACGCCGGACTTAGCATTCAAAGATAGCATTTGGATGTGAATGCATATAGCGAACGACCTTTCACTGACCCTGACTCCCTTTTGCTGGATTTGGTCCTGACATGTAACATGTTTGTGCATTGACTTGAGGCAGATTTTTTGTGTTTGTTCTTTCCAGAAGTGCATGTGCAGCTTGAAACGAACATCAATGCATAGCCTCACCTCACCCCACCCCAACCCATGACCATAGCATCAAGTCCATGAGTAACTTCAAGTCCACGTTGATGCCCCACCTCATCCCATGGGGAGCGTTAGAAGTGGGATAAGCCACGTGTGTACATCCAGGTATGTGACTGCGTATGATAGTGTATTTAATATACAGTATATTGTATTATATTAAATGTATATATATATATATAATATACACATTATACATATGTAACCGAAGGGGGTTTTGAAGTCAAACTTCCGACAATATGGACAGATGGAAAAGCAGAGGTGGGAAGAGTCAGAGAGGAGAGGGTCAGAAGAAAGAAGATCAAGGTGCGCGAAAAGGTGGAACAGCCGCAAAACACTGTGCTTTTCCATGAAGCGGCGGGTGCTGAGCCATCTAGTGAGATGAGAGGTGAAAAATTACACGGTGTTGTGGCGCGAAGCACATTTGGAAGTCAACATGTCCAAAACACACCATTCTCGGACCACTTTTGGAAGCTGACATGTCGAAAATGTGCACGCCGTTGTGGCGCGAAGCACGTTTCGAAGTCAAAATGGGCGCCGCGAAACAAATTTCAAAGTCAAAATGTGCAAAATACGCCCCACTTTTGGAAGTTGAGATGTCCAAAAAGTGCACTCCGTTGTGGCGCGAAACACATTTTGAAGTCAACATGCTAAAAGATGTAAAAACACCGCATGTTCGGACCACTTTTGGACGTTCAATTGCGCCACACTACACTGCGAGCACAACTGCAACAACTGCAACAACAACAACAACAACAACAAGAACAAGAACAAGAACAAGAACAAAAACAACAAGAGCAAGAACAAGAACAAGAACAAGAAGAACAAGAAGAACAAGAAGAACAAGAAGAACAAGAAGAACAACAAGAACAACAAGCACAACAAGAACAACAAGAACAACAAGAACAACAAGAACAACAAGAACAACAAGAACAACAAGAACAACAAAAACTACAAGAACAACAAGAACAACAAGAACAACAAGAACAACAAAAACAACAAGAACAACAAGAACAACAAGAACAACAACAACAGCAAGAACAACAAGAACAACAAGAACAACAAGAACAAGAAGAACAACAAGAACAAGAAGAACAAGAAGAACAAGAAGAACAAGAAGAACAAGAAAAACAAGAAGAACAAGAAGAACAAGAACAAGAACAACAAAATTACTCCTACTACTCCTACTACTCCTGCCACTCCTGCTCCTCCTCCTACCCCTGCTTCTAGTCCTGCTCCTACTCCTACTCCTACTACTACTACTGCTACTACTACTACTGCTACTACGACGACGACTACTACTACCACCACAACGAGTACAAGTACTAGTACTAGTGCTGGTACTAGTACTAGTACTAGTACTAGTACTCATACCCATACCCATACTCATACTGATAAAGATATTACTCATAATACTAATGCAAACACTAATGCTAGACTAATGCTACTACTGTTTTTTTTTGCTACTGCAGCTACAGCAACAACAGCTACTACTACAGCTACAACTACAGCTGCAACGACAACTACAACTGCCACCGCAACTACAACAACTAGAACAACTACAACAACTGCAACAACTGCAACAACAACAACAACAAGAACAACTGCAAGGACTACTACCGCCACAACTACAACTAGAACTACTCAACTGCAACCACACAACAGCTACAACTACACCTACACCTACTACTACACCTACACCTGCTCCTACAACTACAACCGCAGCTACACTACTCTACTCTACATTACGATACTTCACACTACTTCACACTATTTTAAACTACTTTACACTACTTGATGCTACTTTACACTACTTTACACTACTTTACACTACTTGACTCTGCTTAACACTACTTGACACTACTTTAAACTACTTTAAACTACTTTACACTACCACTACCACTACCACTACACTACCACTAAGACTACACTACACTAGACTACCCTACCCTACCCCACGCTACGCTACGCTACCCTACACTACACTACACTACACTGCACTGCACTACACTACACTACACTACAGCCACAACCGCAACCACCACCACCACCACAACAACAACAACAACAGCAACACGATCAACAACAAGACCAACAACAAGATCAACAACAAGATCAGCAACACGATCAACAACAAGATCAACAACAAGGTCAGCAACAAGATCGACAACACGACCAGCAACAAGATCAACAAAAAGGTCTTCAACAAGACCAACAACAAGATCAACAACAAATTCAACAACAAAATCAGCAACAAAATCAACAACAATATCAACAACAATATCAACAACAAGACCAACAACAAGACCAACAACAAGACCAACATCAAGATCAACAACAAGAACAACAGCAAGATCAACAACAAGACCAACAAGAATATCAGCAACAAGATCAACAACAAGATCAACAACAAGATCAACAACAGGATCAACAACAAGACCAACAACAAGATTAGCAACAAGATCAACAACAAGATCAACAACAAGATCAACAACAAGATCAGCAACTACAACAATTGCTACTGCTGCTGGTGCTACTACTACTACCACCACCACCACAACCACCACTACTACTACTACTGCTGCTACTACTGCTACTACTGCTACTACTGCTACTCCTGCCACTCCTCCTCCTGCTCCTACTCATACTCATATTCATACTCCTGCTCCTGCTCCTACTCACCACTACTACTACTACTACTACTACTACTATTATTGCTGCTGCTGCTGCTGCGACTGCTGCGACTGCCGCTGCTAGTGTTAGTGCTAGTGCTAGTGCTAGTGCTAGTGCTAGTGCTAGTGCTAGTGCTAGTGCTACACCTGCAACTACAACGGTAGCAACACGTACACAGATACAACTTCCACTACACTACACTACACGACACCACACTACACTACATTACATTACATTACATAACACGACATCCAGCAGAAGTGGGTGAGGTGACCACTGCAACCACCCCAAAAAAACACAACTCCAACCACCTTTTGGTCCATTAGTGCATTTGCTCTGCCACCTGTGCATCACAACAGCTAACCGCTCCTCTGGTTTCCTATGTTTGAAAGTTCCGCCGCCGCCTTGTGCGGTATTACTGGTATAGAGTAGAATGCACACATTTTATTCGATTGTGGAGAAAGCATTTGTTACTTATTGTATTTTCATTTTTTGCGGGCCTTCAATTTTCTTCACTGCGAGACTTTGCTACTGCAGGAGACGCCACGATGATGACATGTCCTAGTTTCAGGGGCTTTAGTTGTGGTTCGTTCTGAGGTGGCCTAAATGTGGCCTGCCCTAAACCACAGCATTTAGCTCTACGACATCATTTTTTTTTCAGAAAATGGGGACAAGTCCCAGAAGAGTTCAAACAATTTCAATTTCGCACTTGTGCAATTGATGGAATGTTTCACAGAAGCAGAGCAAATGCTTTGTTCTCTCTTGTTCTCTCCGGAGTTTTTTTGCGAGTTGGATTACTTTTGCGCAGTTCACTGCTAAAAACTAAGAGGCCCTCGATGGGTCCGGACAGATGCATCAATTGGGCCTCAAAACTTGCATCACTTTGTAATTTGTGGTGTAATAATTTGGCAGTTAATTGATTTCCCCTGAAGGTTCACTGCTTCGACGGCTTGATGTTGCATTGCTTTGCACATTGCAATTTGGCTGTCAGCGTCGGCCTTTGTGCCGTACTGGTGCCGCTCCCATTGGCACAGGCTTGAGGGTGATGTCAAGCATCCAGCCCGCCACAGCTGTGCATAGACATTCCTTCGTGTTGATCACTGAGTCAGTACACAGTTGTCTAATGTTTGCCATGTGTATACATAGTCTCCGGGTAAACATCTATGAATTAGTCTATGTGTAAGGAAGTCTTGTTCATCTTGTTCTGTATGACATGTTTGACATTGACTCGTGCATCAACTCCGGCAGATGCTTGTTTGGCTTCTGGCTTTGTGGCTGGTGCGGGCGCGTGGTTCCCAGCCGTCAATTGAAGTGGTCCAGTGCGTGGACGACGCCAACCATAGCCCTTGGGTTGACAGTGCGAATAGCTTTGAAAATAGCATTGCAGAATATTGCAGCATTGAGTAGTAGTAATGTGCTGGCTATGTTGGTGACTTGTCAATTGGTTTGATAACGGACTTGTACGCGAATGTAGGTTTGAATCTGCTAAATTGATCTAAATTGTCAGTGAGTCTGGCTGACTTTTGCTGACAGACTCTGACAGCCCGCATGCTCTGAGGCTATCGCTGGTAAGCCGCAGCGAGTATGCCAGGGAGACAGGCAAGAGAAGTTGGTCGCGGAACATCAGCATCATTAGCATAGGCATAACATGCATAGCTGCAGGGAATATTGATCGCAACACATGGCAACAATTTTCTGTGAGCCTTGGGTGCCTAATGCAAAGAATGCAAGGGTACCTATATATCCAGAACGCTGGTCTTGACATGCAACTGATATTCAATGAAGACCAAAGTATTGAAATATGTTTGCAGTATGTATGAATATCTCGCTGATTTTCCTTCATGTTTGCCGGGCAAAGATGAGAGCTAATTCAATGACTGAGAACATGGATGTGTAAATATGTGTACGTAAGTTCCTGACATGTTGGTCTTCGGTTTTGCTGTGAAAAGGCATCTCGGCGCTAGCAACGGCCGAAGAACGCTTGGCCAGAGGCTGATGCGCGCTCTAGGAGCAAACAGAGGAATATTGAATAATATTGAGATATTGATATATTGTATGTGCTAAATGGCATTCCTCGCGAAATCTGTGCTTGCTGTGATTCACACTTGTAAACGCGATGACCAGACAGGACACCAGAGAGACAACTCCGCTCCATTCACAAAAGATAAGGTCCGTCACAATGCAGACTTGGCTCTTGAGTCTTGCATTCAACAAGACCTCTGGCATAGTCTGGGCCTCATGTGTTTCTCCGAGTCATGCTGCTAAACCTCTACCTTTGCCCGGAATGCCAAATCGACACGCAACAAGCTACTGTAAGGAGAACAACCAGCATAGTTGCACTATGTTGCACTGGTGCAGATGCAAAGCTTTGTAAAACAACATGAGTGAGTTGATCAGGGACTTGGTCATTTGACTTCGTCAAGGATGGGTTTACACAGTTTGAGTTTTTTTTGTTTTTGTGCTATCCGTTGAGCCTGCCAGCGGACTTGAGGAACTCAGCTACGGAGCCAACTCAAAGGTCTTTGCTTTGAGATGTGTACCTTGGCTTTGCTTTGTACATCTTTGATCATCTTTGTACTTTTCCTATCTTTTCTATTCTTTTCTTTGCATTTCAAGGCTCAGTCAGTCACTGCTAGTGAAGACTGTGAAATGTCAGCGCAGCTTTGCTGAAACATTTACTTTCTCAGACTGTTGCAAGCACAGCTGGACAAGATGGACAAGTGGGTTGGAAGATGAATGCAACAGCTGTGACCAGACAACTGGAAGAGCATTTTGTGATGGGAAAACTCTTTTTCTTCAGTGAAATGGGATCACCAGAGACAACTTGATGCATGGCACCACAGAGTGACCTCCAAAGACTAAAGAACTGCTGCCAGCAAAGTGTGAAGACGAAACGATTCATGGCGGATTACTCAAACCATTTCAAAACTGCAGTCTTTGAGCATTTTTTGGAAGCACAGCTAAGCAGAGTAGCAGGAACTTGCTGTTACATGCTGTCACATGTTGTTACGCAGATAGAAGCATGATAGAAGCATGATAGAAGAGATTAGCAGACCCGCTGAGGCAAAGCAGTCAGGTACTTGGCACCCGTCAGGGCTGTGACAGCTTGAGGATATTTCAACAAGAGTTCAAAACTTTTCAATCATTCAGGTTAGTTCAGGTTAGTTCAGGTTAGTTCAGGGCAGGAGCTGAGCACCGGAGCCATGGGACTCACAGGATCTTTGTAAGCTGCTCTTGAGTCAATTGAGGTGAGTCTTTATCCAAATTGCCCACAGTGCGAAGGCGAAACCGGGATGCTTTACGAGATGAGATCCACTTGGGCTGAGCGAAGAAATCAAAACAGCTCTAAAGACTTATAAAGCATTGGTTGTTGCATTTTTTGCCCCCAACAATTGATATAGACATGAAATTACACGAACAGGATTGAACAGGGGGAGCCGTTTGCCAGGCATGACTGGAAAACAGGCTGCAGCTCCTGGAGAGTTTGCATCAACCGGCTCACCAGTAGAGGGGTCGTGCGCATCCTAACTTGAACAATGAGTTGGCTGAGTTGAAGAGTTGACCAAAGTCATTGCATGCCGTTGCACAACAGACCCTGGACGTTCATGGTGCATGTGCCAGATTCGAATGTGCCGCCTCAGGAATTGGGAAGGGCTTCTGTTCCACATGGATCAGATGAGTCAATGGGGACGTTCACTGATCAGGCGAAAAGCAAGGAGATGAAAATATATCAGCCAATAGCACGCGAAAAGGCTTTAAAATGATCAGTGAGATTGGGGGCGGTGGGCTAGTTCAAGGCAATGGTCCTCTCAAGGAGGGTCCTCACAGCTACAGTTGTGGCCTCAAAGTCTGTTTGTCGTTCCATGTCGTTCCATGTCGTTCCATGTCGTTCCATGTCGTTCCATGTCGTTCCATGTCGTTCCATGTCGTTCCATGTCGTTCCTGAATGCTCCGGAAGCCCAAAGATGCCTGAGGTTTCTCAGCAATTCAACTCTTGGCTGCGAGGAAACCGATGTGATGCCTTGGTGCTCAGAAAAGCAAAAACTTGCAGAAGACTTGCAGAAGACTGGCAGAAAGTCAACTTGAGATCACTTGCTGTATGTGACATATGTTGACAAATGATTGACATATGTGTATCAAAATGATCAGAAGGTGCCAGGCAGATGCAGTCTGCGTCAGTTTTAATTGTCGTTTTCAAAAGTGGTTTGACTTTTGCATTCCTTGCATTTCAGCTTCTTGACGCATGTTTCCCTTGTGTTAGCAAGGCGACGAGAGGAGCTTCAAGGACAATCAAACTTGCAGGGTACATTGTTGATAGCTTTGGACTTTGATCTTGTACGGCTACTAGCGTCACATTCATTCAACAAATTTGACCAGGAAAGATCCTGGACTTTTGCCAAGATGTTTGCACTCGTCCTAGTGACATGTGCGATTTACAGGGTTCAACATGTTTCAAATTCCAGCCTTCAAATAGCTTTGTTTACTTTTTTTAATGCAGCTTACATGAGTTTGAAGTTCAAGGTCATGACCAGGCCTGTGCTGAATGTCACCAGGCCAGGATCAGAATGTCTCAAGGTGAAGAGAAACCAAACAAGTACAGTGAGTCAACTGAGTGAAGTGAGTGAACTGTTTTGTGACAAAATTGATAAGTACTTCAGATGCACAAATCAAACCAGCGCTTTTGTTCTAACCGTCTTTGGCTTGCAGTAATGACTTGCAGCATTGACGGGGATTCACGATGAGTTGAGCGATTCACGCCATTCATCGCAATTCCCTTAAAGCTTGGACCTGGGATGACGGGCATCTTCGGGACCGGATGAGTAAACTGAGTAAATGAATGTAAATGAATGCAAATGCAGGCACGTGGACCTCCCAAGAGCTGGCCACTGCTGATGACGCAGGCTGGGCAGTTACTTGCACTTACAAGATAGTGCAAGGATCTGAGATTCCAAGGGCCCAAGCTGTCCATGAATTTTCTGAGGGCTCAAGGAGATCAAAGCAGTTGAGCAAGGGCTTCAACAGCACCTTCAACAGCCCTTCAACACCGTGGTCCCGGAAGAAAATGCTCCTATTGCCAGACCATGTGCTGTGCAAAATGTTGAGTAGACGAGCTGGAGTGTTCAGCCTTGCTTAAACAAGGACAGAAATTTGTAGCTCCATGTGACAGTAAAGTCACGGACAGAGCAAGACCAGGACGGTACACCAAGCCAAACCTGGCCGAACAAACCAAACAGCAGGCCGAACAGCAAGCTTCAAGATTGGCCGATTGTATTTTCAAGCCATGAGCAACAGCAACTGGTGGCCCTTCGGCCAACGAGAGGAGTGCAGCGAAGCTTCTTCTTGTACACTTTGGATCAATTTGGTGATTTGAAAATACTTCAGTGAATACTTCAGTGTAATTTGGCAATATGTCTTTCTCTTTCATGTCAGGAGCAGACCGCGGCCCAGGCCAGAAGCACAATGAAAGAGGGAGAGACATGGTTCTTTCATGTTTTTTCCCATGACTTGACAGGAACCATCGCAGACAAGAACCTGGTGGCCAAGAAGCGCCTGTGAACATTACAGCATGAAATGCCAAATGATTGTTCAGAGACCTGTCACAAGCGGTAAGGTTTGGTCCTGTTGTGATAGAATGTCATTTGGTAAGCTAAAAGGCAAATTCAAAAGAGCTCAAACAGATTCAAACAGTAAGTTTGGGTTTTCTTCTTCAAAAGGCTTGGAAAGTCGGACACATATTGACCAGAGAGTAGGTTGTTGATCCCATGAAACGCGGTCAAGAATTGTTGATGCATGCTGGATCATGCCACTGCTGCCACTGGCAATATCATGAAAGCAAGTAAAGCAGTATAGCGTTCTCCTGGTCATAGTTCCCAGCACCCTGACTCCCCTGACCCGGGGCTCCATTCCACTGCTAACTATTCCCAGCCCCAGCTTTGACTTTCTTTTGATCCAGAATCTTCCACTTGCCATGTCCCAAGCTGTCCCAAGCTGTCCCAAGCTGTCCCAAGCTGCCAGTGGTTAAGGTGCTTCCGCACGTGAGGGGACTGCAAGCAACTTCAGCTTGCGCTCACTGGCTGGAGGCACTTGCGTGCTTGGTCTTCAGCTTGCTGATTCACTACTCAGAAGCCAAAGCTGAAACTCAGCTTGCTTTTACTGTATACAGCTGTATACAGTATACTGTACGATTTCTGTTGGAATAGCAAAGATGAACATTTGGAACTGAAGACCACTTTTTCAGACAAACTGCAGCTGCTTATAGCAGCTCATGAATCATTCCTCCTAGGTCCTAGGTTTGTCACGGTTTTTCATCCAACATAGTGGTCCCGGTACATTTTTTGAAGATCCTGTGGCTCACAGGGTTTCATGCCTGAACAGTTTGCACACTGCATTCTTGTGAAATGTTGAGCTCAGGGCTTTCAATCCAGAGAGGGTTCAGCACCATGTCTCTGGGACGCTGACCCACATGGAGCTCTCATCCCAAGAACCACTTAAAACTTAAAACATGTTAAACAATGGTAAACAATAAATTCAATAAACAATGTTAAAAGTACTTTAAACATATCCACAATTTGTTCTTCAATTCCAGATCCGTGGGTATCTACTCCGCTGCAATGAACAAACACTTTGGTGGAAAAAACAATTGGAGGTCTGGTTTGAACATCCCAATGAAGATGTCGCAAACATGAAACAAGAGCAATATTTTGGCGATGAAACTCGGAACTGTTGCATTCTTGGATCGAACAAGAACGAGGTATGGCAACAAAAATAATTTCAGACACTTAAGAACCTATTGGATCAGGAGACACGACACACTTGGCAATGACAGTTTAGACCATTTCCAGATCGGAGCATTCAGGAAGCCAACTCATTGAAAGCAATAACAGGATTTTTCAATATTTTTCAGACAATTTCCTTGAAACAACTTGAAACGACTTAGAACGACTTCAAACGATTTGAAACAACTTGAAACAGCTTGAAACAACTTGCAACATCTGAAACAACTTGAAACGACTTGAAATGACTTGAAACGACTTGTGACGACTTGAAACGACTTGAAACGACCTGAAACTATTTAACCGACTTGAAACGATTTGAAAGGACTTGAAAGGACTTGAAAGGAGTTGAAAGGAGTTGAAAGGACTTGAACCAATTTGAAACAACTTGAAACAACTTGAAACGACTTGGAACGACTTGAAAGGACTTGAAGGACTTGAAAGGACTTGAAACGACCTGAAACTATTTAACCGACTTGAACGATTTGAAAGGACTTGAAAGGACTTGAAAGGAGTTGAAAGGAGTTGAAAGGACTTGAACCAATTTGAAACAACTTGAAACAACTTGAAACGACTTGGAACGACTTGAAAGGACTTGAAGGACTTGAAAGGACTTGAAACGACCTGAAACTATTTAACCGACTTGAAACGATTTGAAAGGACTTGAAAGGACTTGAAAGGACTTGAAAGGAGTTGAAAGGAGTTTTGAACCAATTTGAAACAACTTGAAACAACTTGAAACGACTTGGAACGACTTGAAAGGACTTGAAGGACTTGAAAGGACTTGAAACGACCTGAAACTATTTAACCGACTTGAAACGATTTGAAAGGACTTGAAAGGACTTGAAAGGAGTTGAAAGGAGTTGAAAGGACTTGAACCAATTTGACTTGAAACAACTTGAAACGAAACGACTTGAAAAGACTTGAAGGAAGGACTTTGAACCCAATGAAAGGACTTGAAAAACAACCTTGAAACAACTTGAAACGACTTGGAACGACTTGAAAGGACTTGAAGGACTTGAAAGGACTTGAAACGACCTGAAACTATTTAACCGACTTGAAACGATTTGAAAGGACTTGAAAGGAGTTGAAAGGAGTTGAAAGGAGTTGAAAGGACTTGAACCAATTTGAAACAACTTGAAACAACTTGAAACGACTTGGAACGACTTTGAAAGGACTTGAAGGACTTGAAAGGACTTGAAACGACCTGAAACTATTTAACGACGACCGATTTGAAAGGACTTGAAAGGACTTGAAAGGAGTTGAAAGGAGTTGAAAGGATTTGAACCAATTTGAAACAACTTGAAACAACTTGAAACGACTTGGAACGACTTGAAAGGACTTGAAGGACTTGAAAGGACTTGAAACGACCTGAAACTATTTAACCGACTTGAAACGATTTGAAAGGACTTGAAAGGACTTGAAAGGAGTTGAAAGGAGTTGAAAGGACTTGAACCAATTTGAAACAACTTGAAACAACTTGAAACGACTTGGAACGACTTGAAAGGACTTGAAGGACTTGAAAGGACTTGAAACGACCTGAAACTATTTAACCGACTTGAAACGATTTGAAAGGACTTGAAAGGACTTGAAAGGAGTTGAAAGGAGTTGAAAGGAGTTGAAAGGACTTGAACCAATTTGAAACAATTTGAAACAACTTGAAACGACTTGCAACGACTTGAAAGGACTTGAAGGACTTGGAAGGACTTGAAACGACCTGAAACTATTTAACCGACTTGAAACGATTTGAAAGGACTTGAAAGGACTTGAAAGGAGTTGAAAGGAGTTGAAAGGATTTGAACCAATTTGAAACAACTTGAAACAACTTGAAACGACTTGGAACGACTTGAAAGGACTTGAAGGACTTGAAAGGACTTGAAACGACCTGAAACTATTTAACCGACTTGAACCGATTTGAAAGGACTTGAAAGGACTTGAAAGGAGTTGAAAGGAGTTGAAAGGAGTTGAAAGGACTTGAACCAATTTGAAACAACTTGAAACGACTTGGAACGACTTGAAAGGACTTGAAGGACTTGAAAGGACTTGAAACGACCTGAAACTATTTAACCGACTTGAAACGATTTGAAAGGACTTGAAAGGACTTGAAAGGAGTTGAAAGGAGTTGAAAGGACTTGAACCAATTTGAAACAACTTGAAACAACTTGAAACGACTTGGAACGACTTGAAAGGACTTGAAGGACTTGAAAGGACTTGAAACGACCTGAAACTATTTAACCGACTTGAAACGATTTGAAAGGACTTGAAAGGACTTGAAAGGAGTTGAAAGGAGTTGAAAGGACTTGAAAGGACTTGAACCACGACTTTTGAAACAACTTGAAACAACGATTTGAAAGGACGACTTGAAAGGAACGACTTGAACCAATTTGAAACAACTTGAAACAACTTGACGACTTGGACTTGAAAGGGACTTGAAAGGACTTGAACCGACCTGAAACTATTTAACCGACTTGAAACGATTTGAAAGGACTTGAAAGGACTTGAAAGGAGTTGAAAGGAGTTGAAAGGACTTGAACCAATTTGAAACAACTTGAAACAACTTGAAACGACTTGGAACGACTTGAAAGGACTTGAAAGGACTTGAAACGACCTGAAACTATTTAACCGACTTGAAACGATTTGAAAGGACTTGAAAGGACTTGAAAGGAGTTGAAAGGAGTTGAAAGGACTTGAACCAATTTGAAACAACTTGAAACAACTTGAAACGACTTGGAACGACTTGAAAGGACTTGAAGGACTTGAAAGGACTTGAAACGACCTGAAACTATTTAACCGACTTGAAACGATTTGAAAGGACTTGAAAGGACTTGAAAGGAGTTGAAAGGACTTGAACCAATTTGAAACAACTTGAAACAACTTGAAACGACTTGGAACGACTTGAAAGGACTTGAAAGGACTTGAAACGACTTGACAGGACTTCAAAGGACTTGAAAGGACTTGAAAGGACTTGAAAGGAGTTGAAAGGAGTTGAAAGGACTTGAACCAATTTGAAACAACTTGAAACAACTTGAAACGACTTGGAACGACTTGAAAGGACTTGAAAGGACTTGAAACGACTTGACAGGACTTCAAAGGACTTGAAAGGAGTTGAAAGGACTTGAAAAGACTTAACTGGATGAACTTCTGGAGCCTGAAGGGCTTGAAGTCTCCATATTTCATATTTTTGATATTTTCATATTTTCAAATTATTTTCATATAGTGTTTGAGGTTGCTGGCAATAATCATTGAACTGTCAGGTTTGGTGGGGCTACTTTTTGAAGATTGATTGCGAACAGAATGACGACCATACACCAAAATATAATTTGAATGAACTTGGCAGTGAAACGATTGTTTCAGGTTTAACTGTATATTGATCGGATTCTGATGTGAATTTGCCGGCAATGATATGTTGGTTTCCAAAATGGACTGGATTATGTCCTGTGGCCTAAGACGTCCATCCGGTCTATCGTTGCTTGAACTGGTCGTTTGGAAACTTCTGATCGTGTTCACAAAATGGATCTTTCGGCAACGACACGTTGGACAGTTTTCACCCAAAAAGAAGTCAAGAGAAAGACAGACAGCTAGCAAATAGTCTTCAGATCATTTTGAGGAAAGGAACAAGAGTTTGGTAGTGAATTTTCAGATCGCTCACAGATAGATCCTGTTCACCGCATGTGGCTTCAAACATTTTGGTTCACGGCTTTTACCCCAATTAATAGTCTTGCAGCCATTTTCACTGATGTTTGGAACGAAGCTTTTATTTTGAGGTCCCAGCGTGCAAGGTGGCAAAGAGAGTACACCAGCCAACGCTTTAAGATTTTCATCTTTATCTGCAGCCCCCCATTTGGACCCCAGGCATTTACAGGCAATCGACAAAGTCGCTCCTTTTTTTAAGAAATGTCTATATTTAGTTGCGTCGAAGCTTTCCCTGGAAGTCGTGCCTTTTTGGAAAACGCAAACAAACTCTGGTGATCACAGCGCAACCATGTTTTTAAGTGTTTTTGTGTTTTCTCTTGCGTTCAGCTTGGGTTTAGGTATCTAGTCATGCTTTGGGCATATGTAGTTTTTGTTGCGTTCAGTTGGGGGGAAACTTTTTTTGTTGCAGCTGCTTTCTTATCAGTGACTTCTGTACGTTCAACTGTATTTAGCAACTACTGTTAAACTGCTGCTCAATTGCTGGCTGTTGCTCAGTTGCTGCCGCTGGCTAGTGCCAAACTCCTGCTGGATTGCTTCTGAACTACTACCAATAGGCTTACGTCATTCCAAGTGACCTGAAGTCGTATCACACCTGCGTGCGCGCAGTGTTTCGTTTAGATTTTGATAGTTCTTTTCTTTATTTGACTGGCTGTTGGCTAGAGACCTTGTACTGGGCCATCCAAACGGGGATCTATACTTATAACTCTAAAAAATATACTCTAGATACCTGTACGGTAAATCATTTGCACTTGTTGTCATTTGCTTTTGAACGGCTTCAACATTGAACTCGTTCGCAGGCAGCTTCAGTGTTACCGAAGCAGAAGAGGCAGGTGTGCTGATTTCCCATTGATTTCCCATGTGCAATCGTGGACTCTCACGCTATATTTTGATAGTCTAGTCAGTCTAGTCATTACATGTCATCAGGTCAGACTCTAGCGCCTCGAAACAAGTGAAGCAAAAGATGCAAAAGCGAACATTCCAATGCAAAATAATGCAACATAATGCAAAATAATGCACAATAGTACAGGATAGTACAGGTACATAGTAGATATCAGATGACATCAAGCTGCTCCAAGCTCTCAACTGAATCCGAGGCACTGACGTCCTCTGATGCATTGTGCCCATCCTTGCCCCTCAGCATCATATGTTAATAATTGTTAAATATTGTTAATATGTTTCAAGAAATGTTGAGACATGCTGAGACATTTCACATCATTTTACATGTTTCGATCATTGAAATCTAGACATTCCTTGAGCATTCTTGTGCCACGTTTGCCTTCGGGCAAAGGACGCTCCGTCAAAGGATTGTGGGCTGGCTGACCTGTGACCTGGCATGAACCGTGATCTCACGCAACACAAAAGGGTCACTGGACTTTCTGTTTAGCCTGTTTGGCTTCTTTGCCGCAAAATTCAAGTCTTCACGCAGATTTGATCTGAAGATATCTGAAGCATTTGTGAGTTTCACTGAGGTTTTGGACTGGGTGTTCTTCTAGAATTGACTGGTTTTGGACGGGGCATCCATGCACTCGTGGGTGGAGAAAAAGGAGCAGAGCGAAACTTGTCGCAGTCTTTTCCCAATGTCTCCCTATGAAACCGGGGAGCTGCATTACTTGTTGCAACTGGGCGATTGGAGTACTGTGAGCTGTCATAAGTCCGGATTTCCCTTGTTGTGTTTCAGGGTGGTGGTTCAAACACTATGACCTGAGATGAGTGGGAAGGGCTGGAAAGTCAGACATTCTTGAGAAACAAGCTACCAAAAAGGTCACAAAGGTCCTCAAATTTATGACAATTTAGGTAGTTTTCTCGCACCACTGGCTTTGGTCCGCCCTGCCAAAGAGATAATGTTGATCATGATATGGATGATATGGGATGATATGGGATAAACCGAGCACCCCAAAATGCCTTGGTTTAATCCTGCAGATGCCCGATTTTTTTGGGTTATCATCACTGTTTGGTAGACGTTTGCCGTGAAGCTAGAGTTTTTGCCAACCGATGTAGGTAGATTAAAACGAGGGGGTTCCCGCACTTCTCCGCAAACCAATTTCTTCGATGGAAGAAGGGCCCTGCCTGATTTGGTTTAATGGTCTGATATGGTCTGTATGATACCCCCAATGGATCCGTATGATTCCGAATGGCTGTTCATGAACTCTTTTGAGTCTCCGCATTGGCGTGCCTTGGCATCAAAGGATTTGCGATCCTTTACAGCCTCGGAAACTTCTTGGCACTCGTGGGGACACTCTTCCTTGCAGGGCCATCAAGGTGTTATGCTTTGTCATTTGCAGTCGAAGACAAGCAACAAAGAAGAGTAGATGATAGTACATGCACATGAGGTGTAGACAGTGTGCAAATAGATATTTTTGCTTTATGTTGTTTTTTGCTGTACAGAAATCACGATTTGATATCAACATCGCCTTTTAATCACTTGAACAAGTCAGGAAACTTATATATTTGTTTACCGGCTAGTCCCACGGGTCCACCTAACTAATTAGCATATGCGTGCGCGCGCGTGTGTGTTCAAAGATCAAACAAGAAGCAGCAGGCATTACGATTTATCAAGATTTATCGACCAAACAGAATAATACACATTGGCAAACCATAATATCTACATGAAATGCGTGCAGCATTTATAATTACAAGGAGCTGTTTATCATCTTTGTCAAGTTTGACAAGGTACTGCTTTGACAAGCTTTTGTGCACGAGGTTAGTTGCTGCCGAGTCGTGATGTTGATTTAAAGAAAAGCCTTGTTGCTTGCGCGTGAAAAAAATGACTAACTCCTTGTCCAGACATTTTGCATTGGAGAAAATCAGAGCAGGCAAGATCACAGCCCTGTTGCGGATCCAAGTAGCTACCCGACCAATGGCGAGATTTGATGTAGTCTGACCATTTTTTCTTGCAGGCCACGTCTGTGCGAAGCGATTTCTTCAAAATTTAAATATCTGACTGTATGACACAGAGTCTCGTGAAACGTGAAACAAGTGAAATGAAGAGAAAACTAAAGAATGCAGAGGAATGAACACTGCACTGGCAGACACTTGGATGTGTAGATGCAATACGTGTTTGAGCATTCTTTAAGTGTGTCTGAGCAAAAAAAGTCCAATATGGCCCAATATTGCCCTATGTAGATGTGACTAGATGTGTATCTGTGTGTGACATGTGAGCGTCTCTGCTCGTGCATGTCTTTGCCTTTGTCTGTGTGGATGTGAACGTCCGTGGACATGTCAATAATTACATGACATACTTCAAGTCAAGCGTAGACTTGTATGTCAGACACAATGTGTCAATTCTGTTGTTGATACTCTCCCCCACTCATGATGCCTTTTTGCACGGTGATTTTTGCACATGCAAAATTTGTTGGATTCAGTGGCTACTTTCAGATTTTATGTCCTTTTGTTTTACCCATTCAGGCAGCTTCGACGCATGGGCCGTGAAAAGCGTTGGCTCGTGTCGCTTTGCTTTGTGTGTTCCATGTTTCTGACTCTTCTCGTATCTTGACATGAAGTTATGTGAGCAGAGGTTGTGAGAGCTAAGACAGTCAAGAAGTGTTGCAACCGCATCATTTTTTGGCCTCGCTTCGCCTTTTCTCCAGGTAGCTTTCTTGCCTGGACAGTGGCACGGTCGGACCCTGATACTCCTGCTGCTGGTGCTGGTTCAATGGGCGGCGTTGGTGCCTTTGTTGCAGTACAAAGACATGACGGATTTGCATGCTAGTGTCACCGACTCACCGACTGACTGGTTTCAACATGTTTCAACATTTTTGCGGTTGTTTGCTGCAGTCTCGTAAAGTGCATTTGCTGCTAGCGAATAGTTGTGGCTGCGTTGTTGGACTTTCCTACGACTGTCAGATTGAATCAGGCAATACAAGCCACACAAATGGGTTGCTGGCATGGCACATGCATGTATCATCACGTATCTGTTAAGTTATATATAAGTTATATATATTCTTTTGTGCCCAGATGCTTCCAATGAGAAAAAGACCCAGGAAGCCATCATCCACCCCGAAGAATACCCAAAGAAATTGAAGACCAGTGAGGCAGTGAGGAAACTGAGGAAACAATATAGACGGATTGTGTTTAGAGTTTAGATTGACACGTGCCTGTTCTTAGCAAGGGGTTCACGAGAGCTGCGCTCCGCAGTTGGATCTTGATTCAACATGCTTAAAGTCACAAACAAACTTCTTCCGTTGCAAGCTTCAATCTTTCACAAAGGGAACCAACAAGGCAAATTCTAGAGGAGAAATCTAGGGTCTCAGTCATAGTCTTCTATTTTAAATGCTCGATAAGATTTGATGAAATGCGTTTAGCTTTGGTCCAGTCAAGCTCTCCAACATGATTGCAACTGCGAGATGGTGCTGTCAGAGGCTAAAAGGAAACACCTCTACTATTCTTCTTAGTCTGCTAATGCGGGCAGGCTGATCCTGTGAATCAATTGAACAGCTAATTTTGAAAGCGACCTTTCCTTTGTCCGTTGCTCTGTTTGAACCAAGATATGGTACACGTCTCTTGGCTGCAACTTTGAATGGCCCAAGGCTGTGGAACATAGAGCCAGTTGCCTTGATGACCATTTCTGTTCCCGCATGTTTAAGAACCTGGCAACTTAGTGCTCAGGTGTAATAAGGGGATTCGTAAGCGAACGGCTGCAGCCATGCATATCCTATTTGTTTTGGACAGCAGAATTGTTTTACAGACAATTGTGGGCAAAGAGAAATGATGAGAAATACCTGAAATACTGGAACAAACATGTAGGGAAAAACATGGTGCAACAGGCATGAGGCGATGATTTAGTGCGTAGCACACTGAATCGTTTGGGTAGTTCCCCATATGCAAATGAGATCAAATGAGATTTGTAGATACTTGAGGAATCTTGAGGAATCTTGAGGATATTGGTAGACTATTGCAGAATTTCATCTCTCCCTCTCTCTCTCTACTTGTATGTTGTCAATTTACATATTGGCCAATCATCCACCGCCTTTTGTAAATTCCCAAGAGAATCGAACAAACCTTTGTTGAACCAACCACGGTCCGGGTTGAGCAAAGGATGAAGGTACGACTTTTGTTTGGCCAGAAAAGAACGGTGGTATATTTGTACTCATTAGTGGTGGTATAGTCACTCATCTCTGGCATTCGAAGCTTGCAATTTTGGAGACGGAGGCCTTTGTGAGTGAAACTTCGCTTGGGATAAATTCTGAGCTGAGGCTTTCCTACATTCCTTTCGGGCAGCGGACGGCGCTAGCAGCCTTGCGTGGTTGTTGGTCTCGCTGTTTGGGCGAATGACAAGACCTGCGCTGTGTGCCAAAGAGACCGAATGGAAAGAACTGCAATTCGCAGAGAAAACAATCTGTATGGACACTAGTGCCCCTTGTGGCTGCTGGCAACGGCCCTGCTTTGCTCACTGGACACTGAGTCAGCAGCATGGCGTAGCAACCAGTAGCCCTGAGCAGCTCTTCGCTTCAGAAATGGAAACCATGGCCTGTCGCATGTACAGGGAAGCGATGGGAAGCGTGGCCAAAAATGGGATTTGATGAGATGTGGGTTGGGCATATTTTTTGGGCATCACGTACATTTCCATTGCTTGACGGACAGATTTCTGGCTCGTCTTCAGGCTGTGTTTCTCAGCTTGATCCTGCTGTGGATTCCTTAACGCGGAATGTTTTGCTTGACCTTTTCTGTCAAATTTGTTTCCTCAGTTGTCTCCAAACAGAAGATTTTACCATATTTTACCTGTCTGCCAGTCCGCCACTCGTTTCCCTGCTTTGTCTCCCACTTGTGCCCTTGCCTCCAGCTGCCTTGCGACCAAGGGTTTCCGCAAACCGCTTCACTCTACGGGGTTATTCATCCTTTCAAGCAGTTGTACGCTTGTATACGCTTGCTGGGACACATGCTTTTGCCTTTGTCTCTGGGCAAGAGCCGTCTGGGTGGCAGCCTTTGTACGGGATGCATAGGATCTTGGGGCACGTCCTGTTTGTGTGGATTGTATCCCAGATTTGCTCTTGTCTCCCAAGATGCATTTCCCTTGATTTTTTTGTTGCTTCCTGCTTTCAGTCTGTATTCTTTTGTGTTTTCTGTCAGTGAGACACTATGGCGAGTCTCAAAACAAAAGATGTGTTGGATACAGTTTGATTTATTCTTTGCTTTAGTATCACGACTGGTGGCATTGCTCGTTATTGTAAAATAGTGCGAGGAATGTTTTGCTCCCTTTGCGATAAGCGTGACGTGGCATGTGCAATGGGGGTACCTTTGATTCAGTGTCTTGCATCGTTTGGAAGGCAATGACTAGACATTTTGACCATCTTTGACCATTTTCGACGAGTTTCGTTCTGTTCGTGTAATGTTTCGTGACGTGTCATAAGTTGCACTTGCTCCTGTGTGGAGGTTGAGGTGCTTGCCACCACTTTCAGCCGCTCCCTGGAGGTTGTTTGGGCACAAAGCGAGAACTCCAAAAACAAAAAAAGCGACTATCCACGACTTCGATCGTGTCAAAACAAAGCAGTATCAGTGATGTATCAGTGATGTATCAGTGGCTTTCAAAGAGCGGCAATTTTCACTCTCAGATACTGAGCCGATTTAAGGAGAGGGTTGTGAGGGTAAGTTCAAGACTTTGTTCAGAGATCGCATGTTGCAAGACGAAAACGTATCTTTTCTCGCCACTTCATGCTATGTACCTCCATCAGTTAAGATTTGATCCCGCGACAGGGTGCAAGGGCCAGTAGGGCCAAGGAAGAGGAGGCACTTGTTGCATCTTCTGTGGAATGTGTTGTAATAGAAGATAATAGAAGTAGTTATCCGTAGAAGGCCCGTGTTGTTATACATATATATATATATATATAACTTGCATTGTTGGTCATCGTTGATCATTGTTGGTCTATGTTGACAGCAAAGTCGTTGAACGTGCAATGCGAAAGATGGTAGAAAGGTAGTCTGCATAGCTGGCGGTGAAGCAAATGATGCCAGGACCATGTCTCGCTCTTTTGCTTCGCATGGACACCACGGCGGGACTATGATGAAAAGCTCCTGGTCGAGACTAGGAAGCAGCACCTTGGCAGTCTAGTGCCATGAAGTGTTTGGGAGTGCCATGAGGAGAAAGGAAAAAGTTGGACACACATGGTAAAAGACAGAGGATTCGACTTGGCTTCAGCGCACTCTCGAACCACTATCAAGCGTCACTATGTCACAGGTATCAGAAGTGCGATGGTCACATGTTCTACACAGACCATGCCGCTCCTGGGCCACAAAAGGACTCCTGGGACGATACCAGTGCAATGCAAACTGGATCAATCGTACGCGTACCAGTAGTACCGCACAAGGTGGTGGCGGAAGTTTCAAAGATAGGACACTATAGGAGAGGTGACTTGTTGTGATGCATGGATGGCAGAGCGACTCCACTCATGCACCGAAAGGTGGTCGGAGTTGTGTTTTTTGGGAGTGTTTGCAGTGGTCACCTCACCCACAATTGCTGGATGTAGTGTGGCGTAGTGCAGTTGTAGTTGTGCTTGTAGTGTAATGGAGTTGTAGCTGTAGTGTAGTGTAATGTAGCGTAGCTGTAGTTGTAGTTGTAGTTGTAGCTGTAGTGTAGCGTAGTGCAATTAGCGTCGTGTAGTGTAGTGCACTGTAGTGTAGTTGCAGCTGCAGTAGTTGTAGTGTAGTGTACTGTAAGTAGTGTAGTGTAGTGTAGTGCAACGTAGTGTAGTTATAGCTGCAGTTGTAGTTGTAGTGTAGCGTAATGTAGTGAAATTGTAGTTGCAGTTGTAGCTGTTCTGTAGTGTAGTGTAATGTAGCTGTAGTTGCAGTTGTAGTGTAGTGTAGCGTAATGTAGTTGTAGTGTAGTTGTAGTTGTCGAAGGAAGTTTAGAAGTCAAACTTCCGACAATATAGACAGATGAAAAGCAGAGATGGGAAGAGTCAGAGAAGAGAAGAGAAGAAGAAAGAAGATCAAAAAGAGAAAGTCTCCGAAGAAAGAAGATCCAGGCGCGCGAAAAGGTAGGAAAGTCGCGAAACACTGTGTTTTTCCAATGATTTGTGGCTTCGGAGGGTCGAAAAGTAGGCTCGCTAAAGCGGCGGGTGCGGAGCCATCTGGCCCGATGAGATGAAAAATTGCACGCCGTTTTGGGGCGAAGCACATTTCGAAGTCAAAATATACAAAGCACACCAGCTTCGGACCACTTTTAGAAGTTGCGATGTCGAAAAAGTGTACGCCATTGTCATTGTGGCGCGAAGCACATTTCGAAGTCAAAAGTGTAAACAACTGACGGGTTCGGAGCACTTTTGGCAGTTGAGATGTTGAAAAAGTGCACGCCGTTGTGGCGCGAAGCACATTTCGAAGTCAAAACGTTAAGACCACTACATGCTCGGACCACTTTTTGACGTTCAGATGTCGTCTCGCGTGGCAGGCGCACGGGATTGTGCACCGTGTCAAAAGTGAGCAAAACGTGAGGGTTTTGTGGCATTTCCAAAAATGATGGCAGACGTGGGACATTTGAAGAGAATCCGCAAAGATGCATTTTCCGTGGCAGGCGCAGTACAAGAGACATGTTCATCAGAGCTGTCAGGAGGTCCGGGCGCTGATTTCCTGAGAATTTTGGAGCATCAGATCTTCAGGTTTGCTGAGATGATTTTGCGCGACAGGTGCAGCACTTCGTATGACCTGGCATCACTTTGTCGTGGCAGGCGCAGTACTTTAGACAGGTGGAGTGGAAAACCGCAAAACGCATTGGTACGAGGCCGTCAGCTCTGCACTCAACTTTCCATTTTTGAAGGAAGTCTCGCAGAATTGCTTCGTTTTTGATGTTGTCAACTTCGAAAAATGAGGAAGTCTCGCAGAAGTGCTTCGTTTTTGACGTTGTCAAGTTCAAAAATTGAGGAAGTCTCGCTGAATTTCTTCGTTTTTGATGTTGTCAAGTTCAAAAACTGAGGAAGTGTCGCAAAATAGCTTCATTTCCAAGCTTGCAGATAGACAGAGAGAGAGAGAGAGATAGATAGATAGATAGATACAGCCCGAGCGCTGGTTAAGAATCCAAAAGCTTGAGGCCCAGGGTCCCCCCATTTTTTTTTAATGCAGGCAAATTTACACCACAACAGGCCGAGGGTCCCTCAAATTCTAAGGGCATTCTGAGTTGTGTATTGCATGCACCTGCGCAATTTGGAGCGAGCTTAAACGAGGTAACGAGGTGGAGTTGGCAGATTTGACAAGAGGTTTGCGAAAAAATGATTTTTTAGAGCCTGAAAAATTGTTTTTTGGAAAGCTGGGCTTGTCTGAGTTTCATGAGAACAGTGCCGAAAAAATAATTTTGTAGAGCATGAAAAATTGTTTTTTGGAAAGCCGGGCTTGTCTGAGTTTGATGAGAGCAGTGCCGAAAAAAAATAGAGCCTGAAAGATTGTTTTTTGCAAAGCCAGGCTTGTCTGAATTTCATAAGGTTAGTGCGCAAAAAACAATTTTTAGAGTCTGTTTTTTTTGCAAAGCCGAGCTTCTCTGAGTTTCATAAGAGCAGTGTGGAAAAACATTTTTTTAGAGCCTGAAGCATTGTTTTTTTGCAAAGCTGGGCTTCTCTGCGTGTCAAAAGAGCAGTGCGGAAAAAACATTTTTTTAGAGCCTGAAAAATTGTTTTGCCGCAAGTGCAACCCATGCTAAACCCATGCTACACCCAGCCCTTTGCAGCCAGAGCAAAGAGAGAGAATGAGAAAGCAAAATTCCTTGAAGGCAAGGGTCCTGTAGCGTAATGGTCAGTGTTTCGGACTTCAGCCTTGAAGGTCGGAGGTTCAAATCGCGACAGGTGAATTTTTGGGCATCTAACAGGGTCTGTCAATATGTCGTTTTCTTGGTTTCCTGTAGTCTGCCCTTTCACAATCACACCGCGCGCGCAACTTGTCAGTGGACTGGAAGCAGTCCAAGCATGTGCGAAAAAAACAATTTTTCAAGTTTTCTTCAAGTTATTGGGGAAAACAATGTTTCAGGTCCCCAAGTCTACCCACATATTGATTTTGCGTGGATTGGAAAGCAGTCCAAAGCATGCGCAAAATCAAATCGGAGCTTGAAAAATTGTTTTTCCGCAAAGTCTCAGTTTTTTCAAGTTATTGGGGAAAACAATGTTTCAGGTCCCCAAGTCTACCGTCTACCCACATATTGATTTTGCGTGGATTGGAAGCAGTCCAAGCATGTGCGAAAAAAACAATCGGAGCTTGAAAAATTGTTTTTCTGCAAATCCCGATTTCATCCCACAATACCCTAAGGGGTCACGCCACCAAAAAGAACGAATCGCAAAGGGGAATTGCAAACCTCACGTATAAGCAGTAATTTAAGAATTTGGCAATCCTATTCCAGGGTCCCTCAAATTCTTAAAGTGCTATGTGTTTGGTGTAGCTGAAAATATTTAGCCCGCCTTGGATTCGAGCCCCTCGAATTCTTATAAAGTGAGTTCTTGTACAATACTCAAGCTGTAGATAGATAGACAGACAGACAAACAGACAGACAGACAGACAGACAGATAGATAGATAGATTAGGTAGATAGACAGATAGATCAGCAGAGAGAAAAAAAGGATAGACGGATGGATGGATAGATAGACAGATGGATAATTCGGCGGTCCATCAGTGGATTCGCTCTGCCATCTGGTAGGTAGATAGATAGATAGGTAGATAGGTAGATAGGTAGATAGGTAGATAGGTAGATAGATAGATAGGTAGATAGGTAGATAGGTAGATAGGTAGATAGGTAGATAGATAGATAGACAATTGCAACTACAACTACCACTACTACAACTACACTACACTACTGCTACAACTACAAATGCAAATATACTACGCTACGTTACACTACACTACACTAATTTCATCTAATTACACTACACTACACGAATTACACTAACAACAACAACTACTACTACCACAACTACAACTGCAATTACACCTACACTACACTACACTAATTATATACACTGGCAGCACATTACAACATACTACAACTACAAATACAACTACAACTACAACCACACTACATTACACAACACTTACACTACACTGATTACATTGCATTACACTACACTACACTACACATACTACACTACACGACGCGACACGACACGAGACGACACTACACTAACTGCACTGCACTACGCTACAACTACAAGTACACTACCTTACACTAGACTACACTACACTATACCACACTACACTACACAACACTACACGACAATACGCTGCACTACACAAAATTAATTCCACCACACCGCGACTACAACTGCAGCTGCACCTGCAAATACACTAATTACACTACATTTTAGCTACAGCTCCACTACACTACAACTACAGCTACAGCTGCAACTACAACTACAACTGCACTACGCCACACTACATCCAACAGTTGTGGTAAGGGGACCGCTGCAACCATTGCAACCATTCCAAAAAACACAACTCCAACCACCTATCGGTCCATCAGTGGATTCGCTCTGCCATCCGTGATTCACAACAACCAAGCTCTCCTATAGGTTTCCATTTTTTGAAACTTCCGCCACCGCCTTGCGTGGTACTACTGGTAGTTGCAGTTGTAGTTGTAGGCACACTTGTAGTTGTCTCGTGCCAATGTGTTTTGCAATTTTTCCATTCCATCTGTTTAAAGTATTGCGCCTGCCACGAAAAAGTGAGGCCAATACGAAGTGAGCTGCACCTGTCACGCAAAATCATCGTAGCAAACCTGAAGATCTCATGCTCCAAAATGCGACGCCTCTCAGGAAACCAGGGCCCTGACCTTCTAACAGCTCTGATGAACATGTCTCTTGTACTGCGCGAGCCACGGAAAATGCATCTTTGCAGATCTTTAAATGCCCCACGCCTGCCATGGCTTTTGGAAATGCTACAAACCATCACGTTTTGCCGATTTTTAGCAAGGTGCAGAATCCCTTGCGCCTGCCACACAAAACGGCATCTGAACGCCCAAAAATGCTCCGAGCGCGTCAGTTTTTGACTTCGAAATGTGCTTCGCGCCACAACGTGCACTTGTTGAACATCTCAACTTCCAAAAGTTGTCCGAGCATGTGGTGCTTTGAGCATTTTCACTTCCAAGTGTGCTTCGCGCCACAATGGCGTGCACTTTTTGAACATCTCAACTTCCAAAAGTGGTCCGAGCATGTGGTGTTTTGAGCATTTTCACTTCCAAATGCGCTTTGCGCCACGACGGCGTGCATATTTTGAACATCTCAACTTCCAAAAGTGCTCCGATACTGGTGTGTTTTGTACATTTTGACTTTGAAATGTGCTTCGCGCCACAACGGCATGATCTCAACTTCAAAAAGTGTTCCGAGACCGTCAGTTTTTAACACTTTTGACTTCGAAATGCGGTTCGCGCCACAACTGCGTGCAATTTTTCATCTCCCATCTGGCCAGATGGCTCCGCACCCGGCGCTTTAGCGAGCCTACTTTTCGACGCCCCAAAACATTGGAAAAACACAGTGTTTCGCGACTTTTCTACCTTTTCGCGCGCCTGCATCTTCTTTCTTTTGCCCCTTTCTCTTCTCTTCTCTTCTCTGATCTTCTCTTCTCTTTTCTGACTCTTCTCTTCTCTGAGTCTTTTCTTCTCTGACTCTTCCCGCCTCTGCTTTCTGTCCATATTGTCGGAAGTTTGATTTCAAAACTTCCTTCGATCAATCTGTTCGGAACTCCAATGCAAATTTCTGCAAGTTCTTTCGTTTCTGCAGTCCAAATTGAAAGAAGCCCCCTCATATCAGGAGGGAGACTTTATGCGCGTCATCGTGCCCAAGCAGAGCGTGACTCGAGAAGATGATGGCTGGCTGTATCACAGGAGACTCCGAGTTGTGCCTGAAGGAACGTTCAAACATTTTTAGATTCGATGTGACATGTTGAAGCACAAGAAGTTACCACCAGACAGGGCATTTTTTTTAAAAGTGTTATTTTTTTCGGGGTTACAAGATCTTGCGGCAGGAACATGGTAGGTCTCATGCCATCGTGGAACCATCTCGTACGTGGCTTGGCTGAAATCAAGGCTGTGCTGGTTTGCGCAATGGAAACCAGGAGTAGAGGAAGGACTTGCTGCAAAATGGACGGACTCTATCACACGGCCGAACAAATGAGAAAAGGGAGAAGGTCTCATCTACTTGGCCCAAGGGCTTCTATAGGACCCAAAAGCGGCAAATAGTCCTCAATGGTTGCAAAGCACATGAAAGCACTCTGAATTTGGAAGAGAAAGTCCGCTGGGTTGTCACTTTTTCCTTTGGCAGATTCAGAGTTCGTGAACCAGCACACCTGGTTCATCAATAGCGAGCTGGATCACTTCCTCAGTCCTGTCAGAAACCCAAAAAAACAGCGGCGAGGAGAATGGAGTCATAGAATCTTAGAATGAGTTCTGCAAGAAACTGCCCAAAGCCGAAAGATTCGACAACTTGGAATCGAATTCTATCGATGTCTCACAAATTAACAGACCATGCCCCTTTGTTCGCTTCGGTCCAGCTTTGTCTCGGCAGTTTTTTTTACTTTCCAGAGATTTCTTGGGTCACTTTGGAACTTTTACCTTCAGACATTGGTCTTTTTTTACTTTTGAACCTCAATGAGGCTAGAGCCAAAGAGACCATTGCTGCTTACCTGAAGGGTTTGCGGGAGGGTACTCCGGAGGAGCAGGCAGATGGAGAATTCGTCAGCCGTTAAGCTGACATCATAGCTGGCTGAGCTGACTGCATGTCCATTTGTCGTCGATTGGTCAGCAACTGTCAGCCACTTTGTCGACCTCAGCAGGCCAGCGCAGATGGCCCAATGATGCTTATGTGGGGCAATGCCTTCGCACGCCTCCTTGGAGATCACTGAGCAGAACATTAAGCACAGCATTAAGTACAAACATGTACAAACCCAAACGAAAGGGACGAGGTGGGCAGAAAGCAAACATGTGTGGAAACTCCAAGTGGCAGGCACTGCTTTCGATCACTGCGAGGTCTTCAATAGAAAGATGGTCTTGGCAATCAAACAGCATTGGAACGTATTGGGCGGAAATCTCAGAGACTCAATTTTGACAGCTGACTTGGATCTTGTGGCAAATTGTTGCATTGATCTAGAATGGACGAGTCCTGGACGCTAGCAACGGGCAAAGCAAGAAGACACAAGAAGGCACTTAAACGGTCTCTTAGAAGTCTTAGACTTAATTAGTCTTGCAGCTTGCAGTAAGTGCCACCTCAGGCCGAATCGCCCAAGAAAATGGTCCCGATGATCAAGCAACCGCAGTGGGTTGTCCGATGTGCGGCACCTCAGGACGAAATGATTTGCTCCCAACTGAGCAGGCGTCTTGAGTTTTCCCAAGCTAGCGCCAGTGTGTTCCTGAGCCCTTCTTGGCAATATCCACGAATCGACAGGATCCATTGGGTTATTCTCATGCAGATGTTTGTGGGCTACTATTGTCTTTGGAGCTTCTCTGAAATTCAATGCTTGTCTTGCAGTCACGTTGAGTCATATTGATATTGATGTTCTGTTTCCATCTGTTTCTCTGAATCCCAACGTTTTTCGTTTGTTTAATTCCGTGCGAGGTTTGTGAAGTGCAGTCTCTTTGGGAACAGATTCGTGATGCACCAAGGTTTATGGAAAATGAGGCAGAGTGGCCCCAGTGCTGCTCCCAAGACGTTGTGTATCCAACCTTGGCCCCTACCTTACTGCTTCACCATTGTAGCACCACCAGTCTTCAGAGTTCATGCGTCGTGATCTAACATCAGAGCCAATTTCGGAGTTGAATTAGTTGAACTGGATTTGCTTCAAACTTAGAGACTTAGATAATGCATTGCTGGTATTGCTGCATATTTGCTGCATGACCGAGGCCAAGGTCATTTTGCCTAAGCTGTTCAATGTAACTGTTGGTGCTCCTGGCAGTGCTGGATGTGGAAGCCCATCAAAGAACGGCAAGCAGCAGGAGCTGCCCAGAAAAAAAAGACGCATGCGTTGCTGATCTATTCTTGTCTCCGAAAGGTATGTCACAGGGAGTTAGGGCCAGGTTTGGACAATACAATTTGCATGTGCAGATGGAGGTTTTGAACGGCTTTGGGATGTCGCTCTGCAGGACTTTCCTTTGGGCTGTTGGGAGCTGCATTTGAATCCAATTGATGGGGAGAAAGAAGGAGGTGCTTTGCAAGCAATCAAGGACTGCACCAGAAGGCAGTCGCAGGTCGCATCATGTCAATTATGTCACATCAATAACGGTGACTCTTGTGACAGAGGTAGACAGTTTTGTTGATTCACTCAAGAGACTCAAGTAGGATGAGAGCGTCGAGACTGGAGATTTTGACTGTCACAGATGCTCTGCTAAGAGAATCATGGTTCAACGCCTAGCTATATATATATATATAGAGTGAAATTCCGTGAAATTCCAACATGTCGTTTTTCTTCGCGCCTGACCAGGAACTAGCACAGATGAGCCAATTCCAGGCTTGGTTGCTGACTTGGCTCTGAATCACCTCTGATAGGCACACCAGTCATGATAGGCAGACAGATATTCTAGATATGAAATGGGTATATAATATTATATAATGGTATATAGATAAATAAATAGCAGGTAGATAGATGGCATGTATCGAAAATAAAACTAGTCAGGACAGAAAGCTTCGAACAGGTCTGAGGAATTCACCTTGCATTCACCTTGGGCCATACGGAGGCATTCCAGGCATTGTTTCAAGCCTATTGAAACCTGCTCCCCTGAGGACGAGAGGCAAGCCAAAGACTACTGACGATCTGCTGCATTAAGAGGGAGAGCATGTTTTTTCAATGATATGATTATTAATTATTATATATATATGCTGTACTATATATAAATATGATATACTATATATATGATATGCTGATGATTATATATACATATGATATGATATACTGCATGTATATATTTATATTTATGAGATGATATACTATTTGTATATATGATATGATTATGATATACATATGATATACGATGTATATATATAATTGAAATTATATACTATATGAATTTTTGATATGATTATTATATATATATGGTATGAATATTATATGATAATATATATATATATATATGTATGAAATGATATACTATATGTATATATGATATGATTATCATTATTATGATGATATTATACATATACATATGGTATGATCATTATACATGATATGACATACTATATATATATGATATACTATATATATATGATATGATTATTATATATATAAAAATGAAATACTATATATATATATATATATTTGATTTGATATAGTAGAAATATTACGATCCCATTACCCCCCTGTATAGTCTACTTATAGTTCACTCTATGCAGCTATGATTCCACATCCAAGTAGTTGTACAGTCCTCACAACTTCTATTTTTAATATCCCCATAAGCTAAATGCACAGCTTATTGGGGTAGTAGTAGTCATGCTTATTTAAGGGTCATTACCGCTTAATGACGTATTGCTCAAGCGCTCAAGTCAAAAAGAGCGTTTGCAGATTGTTGATGTTAGGGAGTTCTACCTGTTGGTTTTCTTGTTGTTCCCCCTTTTTCTCTGGTTATCAGCCGTATTGATTCTGTGTTTCGTTTTTGCCGGGAAAGCCTTGAACTCCCTAACAGGTAACTTAGGCCCCACGCATTTTCGTTCACTGTCTTTCGCACTTCGCTGATTTCCTGTTTCACCTTGTATGGTTCCAGAGGATCAGCCGGAAGGAGCTGCTTTGAGCGCTCCGGAACCAGTTGTACAGAGCGCACCGGCGGACGAACCGGAGGCAGCTGAAATTTCTGAAAGCGCCGAAGGTACGCACGCAGGTGAGGCTCGTAGCAATTGGGCTGATCTCTCTGACGGCGTTCTTGATACAGCTGCCGCGTCCCTTGAACAGCAGGATCTTCCTGAAGAACTTCCTGAACTCGGTCCCGGGCCTGCAGAGGGTGAAGAGTTAGGTGGGGAAGGGGCTGCCTTTGGCGCCCCGGGCGAAGTTTCTGAATTCGATCATCCGCCCAGGTTTGACGCCTTGAGTTTGCTCGATCCTGTAAAACAGGAAGACGAACAGGTATCTGCCGAACAGATCTTTCAGGAGCTTGTAGCCGACCCCGCTGAGCTTTCATCTAGTGTCATCGAAACTCCGATTGAATCAGAAGAAAATACCAATCTCGAAGTTAACAACCCCGAAATAGATAATATCCAAATTTTGAAGAAGGTGCCGAGATTTCTATCGCTGCAGAATCTGAGCCCATCGTAGGTAGCTCCCCTACCATCGATCCAAAGGAAGAAGCCGATCCGATCGAAGCTGAGCCCTCAGCAACATCCGATTTGCCTGACTCCGCAACAGTTTCTGCTCCGGTTTACGTAGAATATCCCGGTGGTGTGGAGGAGGAAGACTCAGTCCCTCCTCCCCCCACATCACCGGTTCTAGAGGCGGAAGGAGCTGCCACAGGCGCCTCAGGTTCAGGACACGTTCAGACCGGCCACTCACCATCTGGACCGTCCAGGCCACCTCGCGTACGTGGAGCCCGGGGCGGCAAGAAGAACCAAACAAATCGTTTAATTAAGAAGTGGCAGACCGATTTCGACTGTGTAGCTGATTTTCTCTGGACAGAGGCAGAGTTCTGGCTCAGGTACGTGCAGTACGAAGACGCTTCGGCAACTAACCTGGACCATTCGAGTTTTCCGAGTCTTGTTGAATCACTGAACAACAAATCAGATTTTGGTGCACTTCGCAAACGTTTTTGCCCCATATAGGAATTGGACATTCTTTAACGGATATCGGAGAAGGGACGGTTTGAAATCTGCCCCAGAAATTACTTCGAAGACTGTACTGCCTGATAGGGATCACATTAATTTGCAAGCTTTCGGACAGCAAGACCCCCCACGAACCGTTTGGGACGACTATAATACTTATAGGGGCCCACAGCCAAAAGGCAAAGCAAAGAGTAAAACTACCGCTAGTGTCTTTACCCAAAATACTGACCCTCCTACTCCAGAAGAGGATAACAGTAACCTAGACCCACACGCCATCACCAGGTGAGCCACCCAAGGCGAAGCCTCGACCTAAGCAGCCGAAAGAACCTTCGACCCCACCGCCGTGGGTGCCGTCGCTTCGTGCTGTTGAGCATCCGGTCGGTCCAAAAGTCACTGGGTCGGTAGCCAATATCCCACCACCGCGTGTTGCGGAAGGAGCTGCTGCAAAGCCCTCTAACTCAAAGGGGCCGAAACAAGCATCCGAGCCAGAGGCATCCGCAGGCGAAGCGGCCAGTTCCGCGCCATCAGAGCCGACAGCATCGGAACCCAAATCTGTTAAGTCCTCCAATAATCCCTTATCAAGATTAGGCCCGCCACCTACTTATCCAGCCCCACCGGTGCCAGTTCATCGTGATTTTCACCAGACATTAGGGCCAAGGCCACCAAGATCGGCCGCTCCAAGGGGTGAAAGAGCTGCTACTGTACTGCTATACCACCACCACCAAATCATCCTCCGCCTACACCGGCAGAACTTGAGAGGGCTAATCGTGGTAGAATTCTAGAGAGGGCAGAAACAGTTCCAGCCGCCCGCACTGCAGGTGAAGATCCAGTTGATAAGTCTCCGGCAGCCTCTGCTCGAAACCGGTCAGGCGTTCCAGGTCACTGGACGTGGATTGTAGTTACAGTAGGGGCCAATGTTGCTTAGCGATGATTAGTCGCTAGCCATGACACCTCGTTATGATGAAGCGGCTCAACGGCTCAATGATAAGTGGGGAAAGCCAAGGTACCCATTGGTTCAGACATGTTCAGACCAATCCATGTAATGCGCTATTCACGGCATCTCGGGTCTAGAGACTTTTGGATGAATGTGAGAGGTTGTAGAAGGCAGAAAATTTGGAATTATTTGCCCCAGCCACGCCTGGAACTCCAGGGGCGGCGACGGTGGGGAACATTGGCATTAGCCGCGTGCCTTGGAAGTGTTGGAAGTATTTGATATATGTACAATATATGTATAATTTAAAACAATGGGGGCCCATATTATTTTTTATGATATGATAATATATTATAGGACATTATATGATATGATATGATGTGATATTATATTATATGATATGATATTATATTATATGATATGATATTATATTTTATTATATGATTCGATATTATATTATTTGGTATGATATGATATGATATTAAATTGTATGATTTGATATTTTATTATATGATATTATATGTTATTTTATTGCATGATAAATAGTACTGAATATATATTGTTATATTATGTTATATATACATGTTGTATAATTATACATTTATAGACATTGGCCTGATGTTAAGATAGTCAAATGATCAACCATCATGTTTTGGAACATTCGTGCCGTTCAGCGCATCCTTTTAGTGGGCTCATGATCATACTTCATGACTTGATGGTTTTTATATTCTTTGTTTTATTCCCATGATTGGTAATTATATTTCTTTGTTTTCGATGACCATCCCCTAGGCTGGCTCTGGTGGCGCGCTTGGGCGCGGTTAGTCGCCGGTGACGCCGCGGTACTTTACGTGGCAGGCGTGGCACTTGGCGACATCCACCTTCGTTTCACGTGGCAGGCATGGCACTTGGTGACATCCACCTTCGTTTCGCGTGGCAGGCGTGGCACTTGCGGCACTTCTGTATCTCGCCTCCTTCGCCTCCTCCTCCGCCGCCCCTCTGTCACACACAACTTTGTCACACACCATCTTTCACACCCAACTTTGTCACACACCATCTTTCAAACCCATCTTTGTCACACACCATTTTTCACAGCCAACTTTGTCACACACACAACTTTGTCACACACAACTTTGTCACACACACAACTTTGTCACACAACATCTGTCACACACAACTTTGTCACACCCAGCTTTGTCACACCCAACTTTGTCACACACCATCTATCACACACACACAACTTTGTCACACTTTGTCACACGCCATCTTTCACACAAAATTTTGTCACACACAACTCTTCACATACAACTTGTTTTACTTCTCGGTCCTCCTCCACCTCCTTTGTCTTTCCTTCCTTCCCCGTCCCGCTACAACAATTGCTCCTCATTATAGGAAGAAGTTGACTTGTGGGGTTATCCGGCCCTTTAATTTATTTATAAATAAATATATATATATATGTATATATATGATTTACTATTTGTATATATTTATATGTATATATATATATTTAATATGATTTACTTTATATATATATAGGATATGATATGATATGATATACTATATATAGGATATACTATATACATGATTTGATACACTATATATATGGTATACTCTATATATATATATGATTTGATTATTATTGCTATTATATATATTTATATATATATGATATACTATATATATGTGTGATATGATCTACTATATATATACATTTGAAATACTACACAAATATGATTTGATATACTATGTACATGATATGATACACTATATATATGATATACTATATATATATTATGGCATACTAAATATTTCATATGATATACTATAAATCTATGTTATGATATACTATATATATATGATATGATGTACTCTCTATATATGATATACTATATATACAGTACATATGATATATGATATACTATATATACAGTTCATATTTGTAGCAACTCTGAAACAAAGCGCTCATAACTCTGTGTCCAACAACCAATTCCTTTCAGCAGGGACAACATATGTTTGTACATGTCTTTGATAATGGACATCGCAGCAACCAAACGACCATTGTGAATCATGCATTTCTTTGCCTCTTGATTCGGCTGATCAGGGTGCTTCGGCCCAACCTTTGTCGCATCATGCGGTCATGTGAGGTCAGAGACACAAGTTGGCTGCCGTTCGCGACAACTGCGACCGCTTCTGGCAGGGCAGGCTCAGCATTGAGCAACCGGTTGAAGCTAACAGGTGAACAAGATTGAACACGATTGAACAAGATTGAAAACAAACATGATTTGGATCGATTTGAACTCTTTCCAGAAGTGTGGGCAGAGGAAGGAGAACCTTTGCGATATTTGTAGAAAACTAGCGACATATGCTCGATGGACAGGCGAGTTCCCTTGATTCATCATTTGCACACTGTGCTCGGAGCTTGGAGCGTCGTTGCAACAACAAAACCTCAGATAAAAACATCACCGCAATATATAACATCTTCAGCGGAAACAACCTTGGGAAATAAAGTGATGACGCATGATTACGCACCATTTTCTTTTGGTGTTTCGGTTTGTTGGCGTAAAAAGTGATTCCAGTGACAAGTCAGGTCGGAGCAAAAGTTGGCGCGCCAGTTACTGGACCACGACGCAAGGCCCTAGCCAAGCTCTTGGCCTGGAGAAAAAAGGCATTCCATGCATTCTTCAACATGTAAAGCAAGATGTAGAGCAAAACGTAAAGCAAAACGTAACGACCAGCAAATTTCCAAAAACTGTAACATCTAACATGATAAAATGTTTGTAACAAAGTTCATGATTCCCTTTTGGTGCTGGTTCCTGCTGTCGCTGGTTGACTTTGTTGACTTGAGTTGCAGCATGAGTAATATAAAGACAAGAATAAACAAGGGGTTTGTGGTAGTATCAGACCACCTGTGGATGTGGGTTTCGGGATTTCATTTTTTTGACGCATGGTTTGCAAGAATCATTTATTTGTTGACTATCCTCCTGCATACCAGTGCATGTATATGAGAAAGGTCACAGGTGCAGGCAGGATTGGTGCGCAGTTGTTGTTGCAGTCGACTCAGCTTAAGAATGGTCAAGAATGAAACAGCTTGACACAACAAAAAACATGATTATATAAGTCTCATTCAAGTGTAGAGTCGTTTCAGAATGGCAGGGCAAATGGCTTGGTGTCCTTGCTTAGAACATGAGGACAAATTGGACGTGAGAATGTAGGCAACATTAAAAAAGTGGTTCGCAGTGGTAATAATGTAAAATCATGTTACAAATGATAGTTAAATAACTGTCAACATTGTTCAACTGTGAATAGTTTCAGCTTCGACGCCCTGACAAGCCGCAAAGTGCCCAGAAAGTATCAGCCATGAAGCGGCTGGGCGCTCGCTGACGTGGAGCGCCTTGACATGCCTTGAAAATGTTTGAGAATTTTCAGAAATTTGAACCTTCTGAAAAGCTTTGAACCATTTTGAACCCCTGATTTTTGTGTTGGCCAGGGACTTTAGCGAGCAAGGCATCACCTGCCGTATTCGAATACATCAGAATATAGGCGCTTAATGATCTCAATGAAGTGCCACCTGGATATGAAACCATTTGATATCCGACAAAGAACTGCTGCTATACAGCAACTTGGTTGGGATCCAAATGCGCGCTTGCCTGCCATGAGCATTGGCAATCCTAAAAACAGCAAGAAATACCAAACCGATCCAAACCGAGGAATGGACCTTTTGCCAGTTGTTGTGCTGGAGGAGCTCCTTTGAAGCAGAGAAGCGCACAGAAGTTCACAGCTTCGCAATGGCTTTTAATGCGAGTGAGTTACTGCTTTTACCACCGTTTTAGTTTCTGATCTCAATCTCTCTCGCATGTTTTTGGGCAGATATGACATTGAAGAGCTGCAGCAGCTACACTTACACGACTTGCCAGGAGCCAGAGAAGAAACCGCAAAGAAGCGGCCGCAAGCTGTTGACAGGAGAAAGCACAACGTGAAGAATCACTCCCGGTGCCAGTTCAATGCCCCTGGTGCCAGTTCAATGCCCCTGGTGTCTGCAATGGAACGGGTGCTGGTTGCCAAAAGTTTCTACTGAGTATGCTACGTGTCTCAAAATGCTTTCTGTACCCAAATGAGCCAAATTGAACCAAATGTGTTTTGTGCCACTGCAGGACTTCTGCAGCGATGCTCCGGGATACTGCGTCAGGCATTTCAAACAACAACGTGCTTAAGCATGCGAGATGGCAAATGGCAAAGTCTTCCACAATTGGTCAGGATACCATGCCAAGTCCAAATGTTGATGCTTGGTCATTTTATGCAACACATGGGGAAACCAAATCGGATCGATCAGGACGAGGCTTTTGATGACAAGCACAAGATTACAAGACTAGTGACTAGGATTAGCGATTAGTGATCCTTATTTTGCAAGCTGTGGTGCTCATAATGATCCAGATTCTCTAGAGGGAGCACGATGTTCAACTTGAGCCCTGGCGACCAAGGAGTACCAGTAGTACCGCACAA